GGCGGCCATTTTCACGAAATTCGAACCCAACCAACCTTAGGGTGTAAAGGTGATATATTCAAACGTTCTTTTAAATCGGATAATAATTGTGACCTCTAGAGGGACCTCAAGCTAAAAATGCGATTTTTTTCGTACAATCAGGGGCCATAATTCAGTAAGTTACAATCCGATATGCGCGAATATCGAAAGGAAATATGATCTTTGGGTTATAAACTTATATTTCAAGTTTCATCAAAATCAGAAGAAAATTGTGACCTCTAGAGGGTCCACAACCTTGATATACCATATTTTTACGCTATTTGAACATTTTATATACGTCATATCGTGTGCTAAAATGATAGGGAAATTTTGCCAGGACAGCGGCGCTAGGCCTACCCTTATATTGACTTCCAACTGTAAAAGGGAACTTTTACACTCCAATGTGTACACGGAACTAAAACGCTACAAGCAACTAACATCCACCTTTCGACATGCATTTTTTCATTTAATGGGATGACTACTAAAATTCATTTCAACAAAGACAGATATAATTATAACATAGCACAAAATTATACCGATCTGAATTTTCTTAACCGCGTTTTACCGAAATTGGTGGTTTTAACAGCGTTTTACCGAAATTGGTGGTTTTAACAGCGTTTTACCGAAATTGGTGGTTTTAACAGCGTTTTACCGAGATTGGTGGTTACTTAAAGAGTAAAAGAGAAAACCTCTCTAGCATTTATAAGCTTTGTTTTGTGAATATTAAAAGAACTGGTAAACGATACTTGTCTGGTATGTACTTCGTCAAACATAAAATGAACGCAGACGGCAACCACGTGACGTCGACGTCATTCAATTACCATAACTACGCTCAAATTCAACGCTTTGATAACGGATTTTAAGTTAAGGCTTAAAATCATTTATATCCCCTAAACTTTTCAGGTCATCCCCTGAGCTTTCCCATAATTCATTACCATACTAACCGCTGCAGACATTAATTAATTGGTCAAGAAATTCACATGCGCTACACACCGACCCCAAACAAAATATATATGATAATCAGACTGAACATGGCGGCTGTATATGTTTCATTCAGATTGAAACCCATTCACTATAGCTATTTCGGTTACCAATACCTGTGAATAGTTCACGACCTGGGACAAAATCTTTCTAGAACACCCAATAAATGGCACCGTAAAGATAAGCAAATAACAGTTCGGAATAAAAGACCACGAATGACAACTAGCTTTCTTTGTTTGAAATTCAATCTTTAATTCTGAAGATGTAACTGCCTGTCGCTATAATGATGATTAGCTCCATTTAGCTTTAACAATGTAATGGGATAACAGCTTCTATGTTCATTATTGAAATAAAAGAAAGTACCAAAGCAGATGGCTAAAGCCGTTTGTCAGTTACGGCCAAAACGCTCTTTTCGATAGCCATGGTTGGCATCGTCCTGGTGTCAAGCTGGCCATTGATCGCTGATTTCTTTTTGTCAGTACTGGCTGCCGAAAATGACTTTCTACTTAAAACTACGTGGCTTAATTGTGAGATTATTATATTCCATACCTGAAAAGTAATATGCACATTTACAATCAGAATCAGACACGACTTGGTCAAAGACGGAATCGATGATTTCCATCCTGAGAAAATAGTAGAATAAAGACGGATTAAACACTGAGATTGCAGTGAACAAAATATTGAGCGAACTGCTATTCGGTGGGGTTTGAATTTCGAAATTTCAAAGAATCCATCAAAACATTAGAAGATTTTAGAATTTTTAGGCAATTCATAGTTGCATTACAAACATCGGTAGATATATATTTTGAGCACAATGCAAATCCTTTTTATTGCATATTCTTTGATGATAATTTTAAATATACCTGGAGTAGCAGTGGGTGCGGTGTTCTCTTTGTGTATCTATGTTCCTCTCGAAGGGCCCAGGCGTATGGGTTTCGAGGCTTACACGGCTGTTGAACTGTCTATAGCTATGATAAACAGCGATCCTACATTATCAGCCATAAGAGAAGGGAATCATTCTTTTAATTACGTAATGGTCAACAGTGCTTGTGAACCAGGGAAAGGCTTATATGAGTTTGTAGAGATGATAAAAAGTTCGGATGGAATTAATGCTATTATAGGTAAGAATTTACATATTTTATTTTGGAAGCATGAGCATGGCTCTAAAGGTTAGTTGTACCTTATCTTTCATCTTTTATCGGAATCGACGAAGATATCAGGCCCAGGATTAGTGTTATCAAAGTTACTAGGATAATTTACATTCAGTAGACATTTGTTACATCTAATGATCAGATATTGATACTATTGAGGGACGGATCCAAGATCATTGTTTAGACTTACATGTAATTGTCGGTTAACGTAGTCAAGGTATTTGCGACCAAAACTACGTGATTCGAAATTGGTCTTGGTGATCACCCTATAATTTAATAAAACATTAATCTAACTCTAGCATAGTATATTGGATGCCTTTGGACAACTGGTTTGCTTTGGGGGAGGGGGAAAGGCAATGCCTAAAAGTGGCGGGAAATGTGATAATGTTGATATCAATGATGGTTAAGGACAATGCCTAATGTACGAGAAATGTGATAATGTTGATATACATGATAATCATCTTATCATTCTTCCGGACACCTGTTACCACTGTTTGTCGTGTATTTTGTACACGAGGAGCAGTCCATTTGCTGATTACACTATTTTGCCTGAATACACTATTTTGCCTATAACGTTTTTTAGGACTTCGAATTTTGTCTTATGGTTTGGATTGTTCGTACTTGGTTTTATTTTATTTTAACTCTACAGCTCAAAATAAGATTATGATGCCACTTGGACAACTGTTTGTAATTTTAGGAACCAAAACATCTTTTACAACCTTTCCTAAAACATGATTGTATTAAATCCTTTCTTACAAACGGAACCATTTAAATTATCGAATTTCATAACTTATTTTGAATTCAGATAAGCTTTAACATTTTTCGTAATAAAGTCCTTATCGTCTTACAATAAGGCAAAATGGAAGTTCGATGCAAAATTGTATGATTATGTTAAACTGGACCTTTGTCAAAATAAATCTCACTGGCAGATCTTGCATGCGCGATAATTGGAAATGGTGTCAACTTGTATATGGAAAATCTTTGGACAATTATCGATGCCAAAATAAAATGTTGGTTTCATGGGGAGTAATTCATGCATTTTTTTTACATCTTGCCTAATTCTAAGGTGATAATTAGTTTATTTTGCAGGGTCATTAAATTATTGAATCCAAAACGAGTTACGAAATTCGATAATTTAAATGAATCCCTTGATAAGAAAGGATCTTTTAAAATAAATGAAAATAATCTCCTGGCAAAGTTACCTCTCATAGCACACTGTTATGGCGTGTGCCGTCTTTATTAGTCCAGTCAGAGGAGTATAACGTTAAACCCCATTTCATTTCATATATTGAAACTTAAAGCAGATTATCATTTTATAAAGACTGATTTCGAAGATCACATTTTTCTTCCCCAAATTACATTAATCGACACCAACACCCCACCCAGATTCCTCGCAAAATAGTTATCAAATGACATCCAGCACATCACAGTGCTAGAAACTAATTTACAAACTGTCACCTCCGCCCAAAACCAAACACAGTATCCCCATCTTCCTAGAAAATCAAATCAGTTGTCTATTTAGAGAAGTACAAAGCTAGAAATTGAACACACTTTACATGTACAGTCCCTCGCCCCGCGTTCTCCTCCGCACAGCGAAACAATTGTCCAAGGGGCCCTATTCACTTATTTAGAGATCCACAGTTCTAAAAATTAATGTTTTACGAATCTATAATATGATCATTTGGACATGATGATCATAGTTTTCTACAAACCATTTTTTCCCCTTCGACCAGGACCATATTGTGATGATGTATGTACAACAGTTGGACTTTTAGCTGGACGATATAAAATACCAATGATTACCTATGGGTGTGAAAGTGATGAGCTTATTGATCGAGAACTGTATCCAACTTTTCTTCGAACAACTGGTGCATTTAAAGACATGTCGGCGTTTCTGAAGAATATCATTCAACACTATGGATGGACGCGGATCACGTTTGTTTCTGGAAAACAAAAGGTGTGGCTGGAAGCTGTTACTGCCTTCGAGGTAAGCAATTTATTATCAGTAGAGTGTATTAAAACAGTATTAATGATAGGTCTTGTGTGCGAGGAGAGTTATGGTTACTCTTGGTAACGCGATGGCACTTTCATTTTTATGTAAAATTGATATAACGTAGTCGTGTATTTTAGATAATTAAACACGAGAACATTCAACACACCCATAAAACGCCCATGTTACAGGGAAGCATTTTCTGTTTCTGGTTGTTCAAATATTTTTCAGAGTTTATAAGTATTAGATTCTTTAAGCTCGCCATAAATAAATCGAAATGCAAAAATTTCATCTTCAGTAAACAATTAACACGCCAGTTATGGCGTTATGAGAACAATTCCATGGTTTCCTGCGAGCTTACAAAATTACCGCCATTCACGATTGATTGCGGTTCACAAGATGATCGAAGAGAACACTGGTGGTGACTGGATCCCGTATGATGCTAGCATCACGCGGTGAAAACCAAACAGTTATTGCTAACACATGCCGTTATTTGTTTACAGTGTCTGACAGTTCCTCTCATAACATCACAACCGATGTGTTATATTAAAGGCGAAGTGGTTTCTCCCATTACCACAAAGTGATATAACGCCAATAAAACTAACACATAACAGTAATTAAGCATTCAACATGCTGGAGCCAATGTAATAATATTGCTAGAATTTTTGCTCGAGAAATAACATATTCGCATAATATGTGATATGTACTTAAAATACTTAAATCAACTTAGTCTGTAATTGATAGTTGTCACATAAAAAAGAGCGATTTATCGAAAACATATGTCACTCATTTACCACCGAATTACACGTGAGTGGAATTATTCTAATTGCATCACTTGATTTAAAGTAACCAATCATTTTGTTAATTACACAAGTTCAGGGCCATGATCACGCGTTATTGTGCATGATATTCACTTACCTTTAAAAGAAACCGGGGAACCCTGTAAGTCAGACTAGCATTAGATTCCAGAGATCGAGGGTACATCTGAGTTCCTAGACAGCCGAGAGGCTGGATAGGGTGGAGAAGTGGTTTAAGCTATATAGTATTGTAATTTGTGCTATGCTTGTATACCTGTATTCAGTTATATGCTATATAAAATGTAGAAGCGAACTATGCATTATTATTCCTGGTAAGACAGACGTCTTAAGAAACTGTGAGAAGTAAATACACAACGTGAAGCAGAAGTAAAGACAGCTAGAGACAAATTCTAGACGATCACAAGGCTACAGAAATATGTAGTAAGAAAAGATGCATGGGTTGTATGTAGGATGTGGCGACCGGTTTCCCATAGACGCTCTCCACGTCAGACAGAAGACTCATGGTGCTACACCAATTATCATCATGATTCACTCTGTAATTGTTATACATACACAGAGCAACTTATAAATCCTGATAATTTTTCAATTGAAAGCGTATGTCACCATTTAAGCGCTACAACCGACCAATACCTTAAATTCTATTTTTCAGGAAATGTTTACTGAAGCTGGTATTGATGTTAGAGCATGGTTTATGAGAAATAATGCTACTCTTAAAACCAGACTGTTGCGAGAAGCACTGTTAACAAGGGGTGGATATTAATTTTATACACTTTTTTTTTAAAAAAAATAACCCCCGCCCCCTCAAATCCTGGGAGTGTTCATGTCTTCAAAACAATCAAATACCACCGAACCTAACCTTTGAGAAAGCTACTTATAGGAGAAGTAAACAAGTATACACATGTTCACCGTGTCTAAAGATTTTAGTTCTCAAAATCTCAAACTGTGTGGAAATGATTGCCAAAACAATTTACATGGGTTACTTAACTCTTTTAGAGTCCACACTTCCAAATTTTCATTGAGTGACTAGACCTGATAAACGCGGATATTCGCTACAATGATGGAATTGGTTGTGAAAATGTGCATATCTATAACACATCTTTCCTTTTCGGTCACTTTTTTTTAACACTTTGGGCGTAACTGACAAAACACCCGAACAACTCGCGCTTGTTGGTTATTAGTAGGACTGGTCATTATCAATGTTTTATGTGTAGGATAAAGCACGAGACTGAGGGTTTTTTCTGAAGTCTTTCTTCCCCAGCATAACCGAAGTCGAGGACTTTATCTTGCTTATAAACCGTCTAAGTTCGCATGTACGTAAAATGAAAATATCTCAGAAGTCCAGTAAAAAAAAACCCTATATCATGTTTTCTTATAGAAAAAAAAATCTACACTGGACGAATAACCCGCTACAGGTTTAAAGAACAACTTTCAGAAGAATTACCCCAAATTCCCCTGTATATTTTATTGTACACTCCAGTGTTTATTTTATATTTCTGTGTATATTATATTTTTCAGTTTTTATTTTATATGCTAATGTTTAATTTATTTTATATTTTATTTTATTTTTTTATTTTAGTGTATATTTTATTTTATATTCCAGTATTTATTTAATATTTAAGTGTTTATTGTTTTCAGTTTTTATTTTATATCAGTGTTTATTTTAAATTCGGTGTATATTTTATTTTTCAGTTTTTATGTCATAATTTCAGTATTATATTCTCTTCAAAAAAAAAGTAGGGGATATTCAGAAACAATACAAAACTGCGGAAATGCATTACTGTTTTTATTAGAGGTAACCAGTGTATGTTAATAACAGGCCAATTTCCTTCACATGAACATAAACAGTTCATATGGGCGACTTATCTGACGGCCCCATTTCACCCGCAAAGAGATACACCGTCAAAAGTGAAAATGGACGTTTTTGATTTTTGTCTTAATAATGAGTAATTGCTACACCAATCCTCAGACATTCAGGAATTCGCCGTGGCATGCTCCTATCACGTCCAATCACGATTTGGGGCAGTACCACGGCCAATTCTTGCAGTGTTGTCGGTTGACGAACACGTCTCCCGATCAAATTAAACACAACCCACTAAAGCAAAGATACACTAAACAGTAAATCTTATGCAAGAACCGATAGGAAAATAAACATGGATAGATAAACCAGCACGCGGCAGTTTTCATCAACCCTTCCTTGAAGTGTCAAATTTGACAATGAACCCCTCCCACGTGTATGGCGCTATTGCGTGTCGCATGTGCAGCTCGGTGGTTCTGTTGGGGCGATAAGTTCTTCATCTGTGAACATACTCTCAAAGCATGTCAAGTATCCATGACTATTTATCATATCACAACCTGCATAGGTATTTGCATTTCAATATCCCTTACTTTTTTGAAGAGTATATTTGAGTATTCAGTATATTCTTGTTTTTATTTTATATTCCAGTGTTTATTCTATATATCAGCGTATATTTTACATTTTAGTGTTTGTTTCATTACGTCGGAGTATATTTCATTTTTCATTTTTTATTCCAGTTTTTATATCATATTTCAGTATATATTTTAGTATTCATGATACATTTAGTGTGCATTATATATTTTATATTCCTGTGTTTATTTTATATTCCAGTGTTTATTTTATGTGCCTATGGGGATGATGTTATAACGTTTATGTATGCAGTCAATCAACTTGGTTTAAATAACGGAGATTATGCATTTATCACCTTAGATTATTTGGATATGGCACAAACGCTAAATTTAAATGAATCTGAGTGGGTGAGCAAAGCTAGTATCTTTGGTGGTGAGTAGATTGTTCGCATATATTTCAAACGTCCGTTGTCAGGTACAACTGTCGTTCTTAATGCAAATGACATTGATGATGGGGATCTTAATCTAAACGCCTTGGTGCCCCTATATCCCGTTTCAATTGATTTAACAGAAAATTTAAATGTTCTTCCAATGAGAACTCTGCTAGTGAATTTATCAACTATGAGCCGGAACCTAATTCAGGTGCAGTGTTTGTGTCTGGTTTCGCACTTTTTTTTATAGCGATTTCGATTTTATGAGGTTTTTAATTGATTATTTATCAGATCTAATTTTTTTATTTATTAGGTATTTTAGACATTTCAATAGATGTTAAACCAGAACAACCAGAATATAAAGAATTTATCAGAAATATTAAATCCCTTGATGATGGTTCCCATGGTTATTTGATGTCATATCAAGTTAGTAAAAAACATTATTATTGATGAAATGTTTTATCCTGTGTAAGTCATTTATAGGATAACTTATCGAAAATAAATCGATTCTAGTTTTAAACATATTGGACAAAGTTTTTATAAATTATCGAATCGAACGAGTTCTAGGTTTTGTATATTTTTAAAAATAATCTCAGATTGAGTCACCCCTGGGGCTTTTATTTACTCACAAAAATAACGGATAAAGAATTGAGCATTATAGCGTGAGTTACTATTTTTTTTTATATAGACCATTTGGATATGTAAATAAACTCTTTAACATTAATGATCGCCATTTTATTAAAGATATTTGTTTATCAGCTTCTTATATGGCATATGTTTTAATTGAATGAACACATATATATATATTTCGATTTAAGCATTTTATTCATGCTGCGTTGTTAGCTGACGCCATTTTGTTGTATGCTGTAGCTGTGAACGCTACAATAGCTAATAATGTATCACCACATGATGGTCAGAACGTAGCTTATCATCTATATGGTACTAGAGTACAAGGTAAGTTATTAACAGACACATTTTGAAACGTCAACAATCCTCTGCAACATTCTATTCAATATCACGCGAAGTGAAGCACTGATGGGTATGTCTATATAATCTTGTTAAGAGTATCCACTATGAATTTTTTTCAACATAAAATGAAATGAAATGAAATGGGGTTTAACGTCCCACTGTTCTGCTCCGACTGGGCTAATTTTGCCCGGGCAGCAGCACTATGGCCTACTCTTATATAGAATCCCAACTGCCAAGGGATCTTTTACGTGCATGTCAATGTATACACAGGACCTCGGTCTTTCGTCCCATCTTAACGACTAGACAGCTATCTTTGCCAGGCCCTCCGCCCTACACCAATGACAAGGGGAAACCACGTCGGAAAGTCCCGATAAACTTTCCCAGCCATCGAATACCCGACCTCCAGACTAGCGAGCCAGGGTCTTGCCCACTTAGCCACCGTGGCTCCCCTTTTTCAAAGACCTTTTGGAATGTGTGTGTTTCGTTTTCTGTCAATCTAAATCTATATTATTACATTATAAAGGCATTTCTGGTGAGATTCACATACGGAGCGATGGAATTCGTAATACACCATTTCTACTTCATAATATAAGAAATTCAACTTACCACATGATAGCTAGAAGTCGTTTGGGGTAAGTATAATTCAGATGAGGATGATCATAAATATGGTTGCTTAAGACATTGGTTCATCCTCATATATCACAGACTAGTTTTCTTCTTTGGATCGATGTAAAAAGCACTTACATAGCAAGTAATTCGTCTGGACCTGAACCAGCTTTGGCTTTGTAACTTAAAATGACTAAACCCCTTTGATTCGGGTCAAAAATAAAATGTTCGATTTCATTGGTTTTTTGTCCGTTGATTTGTTTTGTGGGGTAGTAATCTGTTTTGTTTGAAAATTTAACTTCTATAGGTGAAGCCCGTGTTAAGATAGTCTAAAATGAAACTAAAAGTCGAAATTTAATATTTTATTTCGACATAAAAGTAAAACAAGGGGGTGGTGCTCCTTTAAGGTTTCAGATAAGTAACACAACAATGACAATAGCTTTAATCACTATCGTTTAATCATTTTCAGTAGTGATAAACTTGAGTTCTTCCCTAATGTAACTATATATTGGCCTGGTGGTGGCACGAAGATACCTACAGGTTATCCAGAATGTGGCTGGGATGGTTCATTGTGTCACAACAATGGTAAGTGGTATATTTATTCAGAAATATGGGAGTCCTTTAGAGACACTTACCGTTAAGCATGTGGTAGGTGCTATTACTCAAATGAATTTTAGCTTAAATTCTATAAATATTAAGGTGAGCGACCATAGTCAAAATATCGTTGTCCGGAGTCACGGTAAAATGTTTGGTACGCCTTAGCTCGAACATCAACGCCATCTTCGTGAGTTGTATGGGTAAACTGATTGGACGATTCTTTGAAACGCAATAACTTTACTTCTAGTGAATGCATTTGGATAAAACTTCGAATATTCCTTCATCTTCACAGTTACTCTAATTTCAACATTAACGCCATCGGAGTATATTTATGTTTGAACACAACGATTTACTTAACAAGAACACGTTCGCTGTATATTTGTGATAATTGTCATTGATAGATGCATATTTTAGCCAGTTTAATTTCTTTCAGATATCTATATAACTATTGGAGTTAGCTTAGTTTTTGTGTTATTAATATTCATAATAGTGGTTTACGTTTTATATAGAAGGTTGGTATTCTGATTTATATAACTACATAACTCATTCTCTTTATTAGGCCACAGTGTCCATTAAAGGTGTCAATAAAATGTAATTTTTTAAATCCTAAAATAAGCATTGTTTATTAGGCCACAGTGTCCATTAAAGGTGCCAATAAAACAAAATGTATTTTTTTTTTATATATCGTAAAATAAGTATTGTTTATTTAATATTACATGGTTCAATAACGCAACCATCCAATTAGTTAAACATGCATTATGCAAGAGCAAAATCTGCTTATTACAAGTTTTTCTTTAGGCCTGAAATGTTATCTAAATTATCAATTAGACATTAATTAACTTATCCAGACCATAATAAACTCTCGATGTCAAGGCTAGCCTTCGATGTTGGCTGGATTAGATTCTTATATGCCGCTAACGGCCGTTGATAATTAAATCAATAAAAGTGGATAATCGAGACTAAGCTGTTTATATTAATGATTTTAGTAATGATGACCGAGACTATGCCAAAATTTCACCCGCTTCTTTCTCGGCTCATAGTGGATCAATTTGACTGAAATTTTCAGCAAATTACCTTTACACTATCTAGTTTTTAACTATTATAGCGAGAACTGCCATCTCGTTATCTTATCTCCCATAATGTATCTTTAAGGTAAGATGGTTCTCAAAAAGGGCAAAAACGGTATCGTAGCATAGGATCGCTCCTTGAATCTGGTGACTTCTTTAGCGAAAGGAGCAGAAATCCAAAACTAAAATATTTTTGATAATGTTTTAAACAAATGGTAAAAAGCCTATAAACTTATATTTACCGAGGATGAGCTAAGGGGCAATGCGAGTTGTGTTTGTTTTTGTTTACTTACTCATTTACAGTTAAAATGTAAAAATTCTAGCCAAGCATTTCTGCACTCTTTCACGCAAGGAGCATCAAAATAAATATGCACCACACCTTTTATGAAATACAATTTATTCAATATTGTAGAACGTGTTTAGTTCATTGAAATATTTTCAAAAAATTGATGACACGTTGGATGATGTATTTACGATTATTATATTTTATTTCACATGAATGGACAATATAGACGCAGAATGGAAAATGACCTGCTGCACAGGATGGATTGGAAGATTCCTTCCAGTAGACTGCAAATTAGAGAATTAAAATTATTATCAGATAGAAGTTTTAAAAGTTTGGTAAGTATGATTAAAAGACGGTCGTGGTAAATACAAGTTGGATATTGAAATTATTTTACATCCAGATCCTGTGTACTTTCATTCGGGAAAATATCCGAATTAAATCACAACCACGGTAAAATCTTCTCAGTCCGTTAAAATTAGCTTTACCAATACAGGCGTGCTATAGTCCAACTTGGAGTCGTGATTAACTCGACAGACGATTGGCCTCATCCCGGAAGTACTATAAGAGATTGTAATGGAGCCGTGTTTAGTCTCGAATATCTGGATGATACAGTAATTAAATAGTTATAAACTGATTAAGTTTCTCAATTTTCTTTTCAAATTTGTAGGGATTGTTTACTTAGTCAAATATTTTCGGCCGTATATTTGAGAATTATCTCCTCATTTCTTAGTTACACGATACAGGATAGAGTTCTCGAAAGAAGTTTTAATTTCATAGAGTTTCTATGGCTATCAATATATTTGGATCGTAAATTATTATTCATTTCGAATTTTTAATTGGAAATGGAACGGGTGTTTGTTTATTTTGAGACTAACATGTTTTTTTTTCTAAGGCCAGGTTTGCAGTTACCCGAACCGCGGCATTTACACCTGCACTTCATTGAATTCCAACTGTTGGGGTACTTTTACGTGTTCACGGGTGGACCTCTTTATTTTTGTCCCATCCAAGCGACTAGATAACACTTACCGGTCAGTCCAGATTACAGATACTTCTCGGAACGTTAATAACGATTATCCCATTAGTGTAGGCCTGTCCATATTAATTTTATTACCTGTTTCAGGGCGGTAAAAGTGGTTCTAGTTGTGCAATATCAACAAAGACTGACGCCAGTAATGGTACAATGTTGTCATTATCAGGACAAATCTTTACACAAGTAGCTGTATTAGACGGACAGCTAGTAGCTATAAAACCTATACATAAAGCATGCGTAGCTGTTACTAAAGACGTCATTATGGAAATTAATCAGGTACATTTCGTAGTTATATCCGCCTTCATTAGCCGAGTCGGAGCAGAAAATTACGTTACATCCAAATTCATTTCATTTTAAGTTATATTGAATTTATTAGCAATTTATCCCAGGGAAAGCTCGAGATAAAGATGAGTTTGTGAAACCTGAAAGGAAACCATAGTAACGGTGTGACGGTAGGAAGAAATATATTATGTAAACGTTCGCGTAGAATTTTCTTCCGCAGAAGAATAAAGTTTGATTTTATACAAACTAGTAGATTTTGGACCTTAATTAGTTTTACAAATTTATGATTTTAAGCATGAATTGCTATTCAGAGCTGTGTTACTAATGGAATTATTGCAATTGTTTTACAGAAGAGAGGATTGTTGTCACCTTTTATTCCACCCTAAAGCAAATGTTAGATAATAGAACAATTAATAATTGCCTTTTCTTATAGATACGCAATTTAAAATATAAGACCATAAACCAGCTGATAGGAGCATGCGTGGAGCCACAGAAAATAAGTTTAATAGCCACTTACTGTGCTAAAGGAAGCTTACAAGATGTATTACAGAATGACAATATCAAGTTAGATTGGATCTTTAAAGTTTCATTTATAAGTGATATCGTTAGGGTAAGTAATAAAGAACAATAAGAAGAAATGCGAATTTAAGTAGTAATGACGTGGTGATAAAAAATCACAAATACCAATATTTTATGAATATCGGGCTATGATAATCCTAATTTGCGTATTGTTGCTTTCGTATAACTGTATACACTCGTTTTTCTTACTTTTATAACTGTATACGACTCGTTTTTTCTTATTTTTATAACTGTATACGACTAGTTTTTCTTATTTTTATTATATGATTAAATCTATAATTTTCGTTTTCTATAATCATAATTCTAGGTCTTGTTATTTGTTTCTAACTTTGCTCTTTTCAAAATACAGATTGCTATCCAGTAATGGATACCTAAACACGACATTCTTACACATTATTCTATTATGATACATTTCCTAGAACACGTCTATTCTTATGAAAAATCATATACTACATGCCTCATCTTCAGTCAAGACATTTATTGTTATAAAAATTTGTTTTAGGGTATGACATTTTTACATGACTCGCCGGTTGAATGTCATGGTCGATTGAAGTCGTCAAATGTTCTAGTAGATAATCACTGGTGTTGTAAAATAGATGATATTTCGATGCCGTTTTTTAGAGCCGCGGAAAGTACGACGGTTTTAGGTCAATATCAACAGAATTGCAGTAAGTACTATATTTATTTGATGGTACCTTAGATAGTTGCTGTTGTCGTGTCATGCTCGTTGAACATGGTTACTTGCTTAATGCTTAAAGGGGACATATTTAAAGGATATTTAACATACAATTAAATTTACGAAATGATAAGATTTGGTATTTTAATACCTGGGTCTCACTGCCCAAGTATGGCAAAATCAAAAGCCTTTAAGCAAATTAGCCCCGAAAAAAAACTATTTATCACGCGCATTTGCCACCAAAGTGATCAGGAAAGCTTTGGTTGAACAGATCTACAATGATACTAGATATCGATAAGCCACACCCATGTAATATGATACATCGGTGCACATATTTTGTTTTCTTGGTAAAGCCTTGTCTCGAATTTAGAAGGGAGAAAGTCCTGTATGATTTGGTCTAAACTATTGGATTGATCTGGTGTATTTCAGAGAAATTATGGACAGCCCCTGAAATTTTACGTGATCCAAAAGCATATATTCGGGGTTCTCGGAAAGGTGACGTGTATTCCTTCGCTCTTATTCTTCAAGAGATTATATTAAGAACGGGACCATATGGTAACGAAGCTACAGATCCGGAAGGTAGGGGGTATAATAAGCACTCTTCGTTTTTTTTAACAGGGACGAGGTAGGGCTCAAAATCAAATACGAGGTAAACCCAAAAACCGGCGTCGCTCTTGGCGAACCATCAAAACCGTTACCACTCGAGCGAGCCAATGAACGGCAGAACTCAGTCGACAAACGAACACGGCGACATATATTCCTTATCTCATTCGCTCCAGTCAGCACGTTTCATTTTTCACTACGTGGACAAAAAATCCTGAACAAGCCGGTACGCGACATGACTAGTCGCTACTGCGCTCCCGAGGGCATAGTGCAATGAAGAAACTGGATGTGACCAAACATCTCGGTCACAAACAAGGTCATATCGGGATTTGCATACGGTTCAATTTGATTTCAATAATTCGCTTGCGCATAGGGGTCTTTAGCAGTGGGACGAAACCGGAGGACCCGGAGAAAACCCACGAGGTTGGACAGGTAACCATACTCCTTGTCAATTACAACCGGGGAATCACACCAATGGCAGACCTTATGACACAGCGCGCACGCGCTAACTATTCGGCCATCTACCCCGCCCCCTCCCTCCCCCAACTCCCCTGCGCACACTATAGGAAATGAAATGAAATGAAAGAAATGAAATGGGGTTTAACGTCCTACTGTTCTGCTTCGAACTGGGCTAATGAAGACGGGCATACGCCATACAGTGTGCTATGAGGGAAATTTTCCCCGGACAGCGGCACTACTCACTTATCCACCGTGAGTCCCCACTATAGGAATGTTGTGGCAAAATATTATTGCTGCCTACGGTACCACTCATTCTTTCTTTGGACATCAATAAATTGTTTAGACTTACCCATTCCAGGCGATATTATATTGTCTTCTTCGCTTCGAATAAACGGCACCCTGCACGTTTCAAGTCAGTAGCTTGAAGCGTATATATGGTATTAGTGTCAGTGGCTTGTGGCACGAAGTAACAGTATATTGTCGCATACATAATATATTATGTCAACGCTTGGGCGACATAATATATTGTGTTGACGCTCCAAGCGTGTTAGCATATTAGACCTGTAGACTCAGTGGAATGTACGCGTCATCAGAGCCATAGAAAGTGTCCCTGTAAATAAAAGAGGGCATCCTTATCAGAAAAAGGGCACCTGTGATGTCAGAATTTCAAAAAAGGGCACTTTTCTTTCGGATTAGGGTTAGGGTTAGGGTTAGGACACAGAAAAGAGAGAAAAAACAGAAAAGAAAAAAACAATCGAAACTTACCGATTCCATGATGGAAAATACCGCCAAAATATGTCTCCAAAGCATTCATTGGTTATCAAAGCGCCAATTAAATCTATCGTTGCAAGTTCATGCCTAGTCACCTCCATCCTAGTTCCAAGCGTTGACATAATATATTATATCGCCCAAGCGTTGACATAATATATTATGTATGCGACAATATACTGTTACTTCGTGCCACAGGCCACTGACACTAATACCATATATACGCTTCAAGCTACTGACTTGAAACGTATCGCCTGTAAAAGGAGTATAGACTGGACAAAAACCGCTAGATTTGTAACAGTGTTAAAGGTCGCACGGAGGTACTCGTATGTCTTAAGATTATTGAGAGAAGAAATGACCCCCCCCCCCCACCACCACCACCTTGTATTTTAAATGAACAAAATGTATTTGTTTAAAGTAACATTTCCGTTAAGTCTGGTCAGTTACCATACACAATGGCTGCTATTTTGTTATTATGCTCGGTGTAATCGAAGCTTAGACAATATATATAGACCGGAATAGTCGTGACTAGACAATGTTGAGATATTGAAAGTGAAATGAACTTTGATATTGTGATAATACAAAGTATGGAACATTTACAACATCGTTATTCATTTTAATTCAGAAATCATTGAAAGAGTAAAATTCGGAGAATGTCCACCATATCGTCCACATGTACCCAATGGCTTGGTGCCAGATGTTGTAACAGATATCATGAGAAACTGTTGGGAAGAGAATCCGACTGCAAGACCAAGTTTTCAGATGATAGGCGAAATTGTGAGGAAAAAAGTAAACAAGGGCAAGTATGTGAATAATTATTTCGTTTCTATATTTTGTTTAACTCTCGAACTTCTAAATCCAGGATACGCTTAGTATCTAATTTATTTATTTATCATTTGAATTAAGACAAGCTCACAATATGAATATTTAGATTTTGTATTCAATATGTATATATTCAAATTGTAAGGCAAATAATTATTCTTCACCGATCATTAAATTGAGTGCAATAGGCATTATTTTTGATTTATTTAAATAAAGAGTTGGCCGTTCTTGCTATAATAGTTTAAAAATAGTTCATGAAAAATGAATATATTATTGAAAATTTCAATCAAATTACTTTATTCTGAGCAAAGTTATGAATGTTTAAAGTTTTGACAACAAATGGCCTAAATTATATAGCCGATTGGCAGTTTATATTTTCGATAGTCAAGTATTTAAGTCCCTATTTTAAATCCCTCAATCGTCAATCTCTGTTCGTCGCGCCAGTCTTATTGTTTAACAAAGATATGGTTTGCATTGTCTAATCAACTCAATATCGGATAGTCTATAGCATTTTTTATGGACTTGCGTTCATGTGAATAAATAATTTAGTTTATTTAACATTTGAAGCCGGAAAAAAGACCTGCAATAGTCATAATTAGCTTTTGCTAATGATATATATATAATGTAATGTGAGCCCACAGCCTGGCAGATTTTGTAGTTTATACAACCTGTAATGTTACTACATATACAACGTATGTTATTCAGAACGGCTGATCTGGAAGAGTCTATAAGTCTATATCAGAACAATTAATACACCGGAAGTAGATCATATGATGTATTTTATTTTCAAAATTCAAAAGACCTTTTTTGGGGGGTCATAGATGTTCTAAACATGCTGATAATGTAGATCTTGTAGTTTATAATACAATTATGTTTATTTCAGAACAACTAATATTATAGATCAGATGATACATATGCTATCTAATTATGCTGATCATCTAGAAGATCTCGTGGCCGACAGAACAAAGCAATTAGAAGACGAACAGAGAAAAACAGACGAACTCTTGTGTAGAATGCTTCCCGCGTAAGTTGAAAAATTGTAGATTTTTGACGGCATTATACATTTTAAAATATATAGTAATAAAAGAATTGTTAATAATTATATCACCGCATTGGATTGGAGTTAAGAAAATTAATATTTAACATTTTGATCTATAATTGGTGAAGTTATGGATTTATACTACCTCAAAAGGATAAGGTAGAATATATCTTAATTTATTTCAGAACAATCGCCAATGATTTAAAGCAAGGAAATACTGTAGAACCAGAAAATTATGAAGCTTGTACAGTCTTCTTTAGTGATATCGTTGGGTTTACAACATTAGCAGCAAGTAGTTCTCCTTTAGAGGTAATTTTATATACGTGGATCATGTATTTTATCACTAATTGCTTAATAAAAACAGAAAAAAACCTAGTCATAGCGTTACTAAAAAAACCATAAAGTAATTGTATATTCAGAGAAGTGCGCCCATGCCATTTGGTTAAACGTAATATTTTACACTATTAGTTCAGTGATTACAAATTGCTTACCTCATTTATTTTTTGTTTTGTACGCCGGCGTATTATGCCGTCACCCTGTCCGTTTTTCAAATTAGGTCTTAAGGATTTGGGTCAGGAGAGAACGAAGTCTATCAAAATTCAGCGTTCCGAAAACATTGTGAACATGATAGAAGCTAGGGTTTAATGCATTATTTGACGTGAAGAATTGGGATTGTATCGGAGAGGATTAACCGTGTTGATTATCAGTATTCTAGGAATTTCTGTTCCAGAGATAGTTCCTGAAGCCATAAAACATTCATATCATATTGATGACATTCAAGTATTCCTTTCGGATCAGCTGCTGTCTATAGCTACGTTCTTTTTAGACATAGCTGCTGTGTGGGTGTATTACCACTTTTTATAAAGAGTTATTTGCATATTAATTTTTCTTTTTCTTTTAGATTGTTGAATTCTTAAATGATCTGTACACGTGTTTCGATACCATTATAGATTTATATGACGTATATAAGGTAGAATATATTTAACTATTATAGATTACAAATATATTATAATTATGATCACATCTACAAGTTATTTAATTATATGACGCTTACAATATACAAAATATTTATTTTTGTCGTTATGGTATCTTGAAATCTGCTTAAATATGAACACAGTTAAAGCAATAATTATATATTATCGATGAAATGAGGTTTAACGTCCAACTTTTCTACCCCATCCGGGTTAATGAAGACAGGCACACGGTGTGTTATGAGGTAGATTGTTCCCAGGCAGCAGCTCTACCGCCTTCTCTTGGTTCGAATTCAAATTGTCATGGCTTCCTTTACATGCATGCCAACGTTTACACTGTACCTCGGTTTTTCGTCCCACCCGAACGACTGGACACGGTTCTTTACGCGGCCCGTCGTTCTGGGATCGAAATCGACACCTCCTGGTTAGCGAGCAAGTGGCTTACTCAACGAGCCACGACACCATTAAAAACCTTTATTTCAAAAATATATAGCAGTACGGTAATAAGTTGGAAAAGTAACACTCATTAAATAATTAAGCTTTAAAATAGTGATATGGTCATATTTAGTTTTTAGTTTTAAGCAAAATATAATAAAATTAATGTTGGGAAGAAGGAAAACACCCTCAAAAACATATGCTATTACGGTGTAATGCTAAATAATAAGCAGTTACAAATATGCATAATACATGTATGTAATAATTTACATAATACCTTCGCCTACTTTTATTGGCAGGTTGAAACAATAGGCGATGCTTATATGGTGGCTAGTGGACTTCCGGTACGTAATGGTAACCGACATGCTGGTGAAATAGCAACAATGGCGTTAGATTTACTAGCTTCTATGTCTATATTTACTATCAAACATCGACCAGATAAAACTCTACAACTTAGAACTGGCATGCATTCAGGTAACACAAAAAGCCGCCGCGCGTCCTATCCATAGGACCTCTTTTTAAAACTTTAACGTGCTACCCTTCTGCACCGACTGGGCTAATGAAGACGGGAATACGCTATGTTGCCCAGACAACGGCACTACGGCCTACTTTTATTTCGAATTCCAACAGTCAAAGGCTCTTTTACGTGCACGTCATTGTGTACACTGAACCTCGGTTTTCCGTCCCACAAGAACGACCATCCGTACTGCACCACGGGTAACAATGCCGCAAAATTCCGATGAACTTCCTCAGCCAATATTGGGATCGAACACGAGACCTCCAGGTTAGCGTGCCAACGTCTTACTCGCTGAGCCAGTGACGTAGGCCTACATCAAGATATACATACAATTTAAAATTAGATTAAGACTCGTTAAAAATCCCCATAATTCCACCTAACCCCATGCAACATAAAATGCCCGCAAAGACACTTTTATTGGTCAGTCACTTCATGTAACCAAAACATGTCAATAGACAATAGAGTTTAGAACGATAAAGCTAAACGAAACGTCGTTGACAGCTGATTTTAATATGATTAGACAACCAAATAGTTTGCTTAGTAGTGTGATCATTTAGATAGGCGTTGTTCTAATTTTACCTCCGACCCTGAATCCAAGAGTAGACTAGTAGCATCAATGTTAGTCATTTTCACATCTAATATGTCAAAAGACATTACAGCTGCACATAGATGGTAGTGCACAGAGCTGGTTGTAGATGCGGGGATCATGTTACAGAATATGAATACATTGCAGGATATGAATAACTTTAACTAGGCTTGTATTCATTCATATTTAAGGCCAGCTATGCTTTACTTCACAATTGTAATTGATTAATACCCGAAAATAGCCACACCTGGCAGCCCTGTTGCCAGATTGCCTGGAAAAAATTTTAGTTGGTGAGCTGCGACCCGATTTTGGGAAATTGGTCAAATGTGCCAGAAAACGGGCATAGCGGTGCGTTTATCAATCGAAATTGACTTAACTGTTAGTTTAGTTTCAACAGTTAAAAGGGGGCATCCAGAAAGTTTTTAAAAGTTGATTCTTCGTTTTGCGTGTAGTGCGGTCCTCCTCGACTTACTATTATAGTAGCTGTCTCTCTACTGTTAAAATATATAATTAAGTGAAAAGTCCCCCTTAATTTAGACATTTATAAAGGCGTGTTCCTTACATGTTGTTTTTAGGTCCCGTAGCAGCCGGGGTTGTAGGTCAGAAAATGCCTAGATATTGTTTATTTGGTGATACTGTTAATTATGCTAGCAGAATGGAATCTTCTGGTCTAGGTAAGTCAATTTGTATTGTCGACATGATAATCATATTGTAGGAACTAAAAAATATTGTTGCCTAATATACAAATTATGAATTTTAATTCACACTACTCCAGGAATATGCAATGTGACGGAATCAAATCCAAATAAACGTACATGTTTTGACTGTGCCTTCCTGATCCAACGCTTACCTTAACATGTGGATTGCTCCCACACACTCAAGGTCATCAAAAACTGGGTGCTTGTTTTTTAGGAGGATTATCTGGCCACCTGGTCCTGATGCAATCACCATTTTAAAAACCTACAATATTGGCCTATTCTATGATTAAAATAATAACAGAAGTTCTTGTAACATGTATTTATTAATATTTAGAAATGCTTGTATTCCTTTGATTATTGTGCCGTTTGTTTGTATAGCTTTACGTATCCACGTCAGTCCAGAATGTAAAGGGGTATTGGATGAATTAGGTGGATTTCATTTAGAGAGTAGGGGAGAAGTTACAATGAAGGTAAACATTTATTATGTTTATTCTGCATAATCAAATCATATTCTCCGTTCCGGAAACAATATCTTCTTGATTACCATTTTCTAAAGACACATTCCCGTTTCTCCACTTCACGACTTGGGCCAAAAAGCTAAACGTGGCATATTTTAATCTCATTTAATGCCAGCAATGGCAAGGCAAATTTATCTCAACTCTGTCATGCGAGCTAATTTAAATATGCCAAGTGTAACTGTGTTGTCAGGTCACTGTTTAGACGGCTAACCAAACTTTATTGTGTTTCCATTGGCCGTTTGCTGTAAGTAACCAAGAATATGACAATAATAACATCGTCAGAAAACTTGAAACCTGGGTCAGATTGTTTACCCAATATAGTGCGATTAAGTCCACGTCAGGCACTTGTTTTGGAAAGTTTATTATTGGTTGGGTATATCCTTAGACTCGTTATATGTTTTATATAGGCTAGTATTACAAGGAGGAAATAAATAATGACATGTTTGTACAATTAATACTTTCAGGGTAAAGGTACAATATCAACTTTCTTCCTGGTTGGAAAGGATGGATTTTATAAAGAACTACCATCCCTAGAGTTACAGGCACCATTATCACAACATACCTTTAAATAAAATATCTACGACATTTCATACGTAGGCCTATATGGAGCAAAATGAAATTAGCAAATATACTGACATAGATTATTCAATAAAAATACCCTGTACGTTGAAAATGTATAACATATAGAAAATGGAAATTCAAATAAGTAAAGCTTTTAATTCGTCGGCCAAATTTAATTTCGTATTTGAGAGACATATAACTACTGTTTCAGTTTCATTAACCTAATAAATGGATGTTTGAATATTATGTTTTACGGCGTTACGCATACATAACACGTTATTTGTGGATGTAAGATATTTCGAATAGGTTGCGTTGATTACGTGTCTGTTAATCCGCTGTCCGTGGCCCGCCCAACTTTTCTTATAAATACTTCACTGACTTCAGTTTTTGTCGAATTGTTTTCATATTAGCAGGGATTATTCATTTGATCGAAATTCAGAAGTTTTTAGACGCAAAATTGCAGATTTTACTTGATGGGAATGTTCAGTCAAGTATACAAGAAACCCAGTCGAATTATACAATTTTCGGATCGTACATTTCGACATTTTACATCTTGTAAACGAAATACCGTAACTAATTTTATAGCCAGCACGGACGACTTTGCTGCTGGTATGCGTATTGAAGGCGTCTGCAATAAACAACCGCAATCAGGGGCTGATAACTACAAAGCTCAAAATTTGATGCAAACCTCATGAAATAAGTGTTGCCAGTTCGACAATGACTGGTCAAGATCAGACTAATTTTCTTTCACGCAAATCCTTAACCTGGTGTGTCTCCATCATCTGTTATTTTTGACGTTTAAAGCACAAAAATAACCGGAACCTGGTTCCATCGAATCTATTTTACGAGTAATTTGCCCCTGAATTTGATAATCTCGCTTATGAATATGAACGTTAGGCCTATTGACTTTAGGCATAATACTTAACCTCCTCTTAATGAGATTTTTCATTAGAAGCACCTAACGCAACACTTAACAGAATACAACACTCAGGCCTACTCAGTCAAAAAAATGTAATTATATTGGTCGTAACGTTATCACGTTTCAGATTCAGATGACCTTACCTACCTGGGTCACCCAGGCCGCGATGACAGGTCCGAGGGTTATGGTTCAGTGGCCGTGGAGGAATTTCGTGGACCGCTACTGGCTAAAACCAATGACGTATACTAGACGTCAGTGGCTACTAAAACACTGATCTATATAATCAGAGGCGGATCCGGGGGGGGGGGGGGCTAATTTTCGACAGTGCCCTTTTTTACTGCAGAAAGTGCCTTTTCTCAGACCCAAATATGTCCGTTCCCAACCCGTGGCAGGGATCCCATGCCTCAAACCATCGACTCAAACACACCAGTCTGGTCTAATTAATGCTACCACTTTCAAACGAATTCTTGTTTAGCTGACGTTGCCCTAATCATATAGAGTGACTATAGACAGACATCAATGATAGCATCTTGTGGAATCGGCGGCGTATCACATACACTCATGCCCATCACCGACGCGCATGAGTGCAACTTGATGTAGCATTGTTTCATGTGTGGACAGTACACATTACAAGTTACAAGGCTTAATAGTGAAGTGGCTAGGGAATAGATTCGTCTTTTTTCCCACCATAATGCTTCGCTCGCCTTGACAATTTTCGAGTCGCATGTTCAACTGGCTTTTTTGCTCGATTTTAAGGCTTTTTCAACGATTTCCGAACGTTTACTTAGACGAAAATATGAGCCAAATAGCTCTTGGACCGTCTCCGCGGTCAGTGTCCTCATTTTGCGGCGCCTCCCCCCCCCCCTTTCAAAATTCCTAGATCCGCCCCTCATAATAACTGGATAGCTCATTGGCTGAGAAGTGTGAAGTCACCGGAAGTACGAATTCCGCCATGTTACCACTCGCAAAACATTGGGTTGTGTGGTTGACGTAGTTGTATTTACCTCAAGGTAAACATCGATAAAGTAATGCCGTTATAAATTTTAAAATAATCATAAATTTTCAAAATTAAATAAATGTAATTCTGCATGAAATGTGCGACAGTTTATGAAAATAAAAAAAAAAATAAAACGTGAACATTGCCGTTTACTTGGACATGCCTTGGTCTTTCTTGGCATTCATAACCATGGCATAAGGTCGCATGATAATACTAATAATACTATAATAGACGTAAATCGGGCCTATTATTTTAAAGAAACCTTTCACATCATAGCGGGAGGAAGGAGAAAGGTATAAAGCCTATAATATATATATATAATGTAGGCCTATATATATGTGAACGAAATTTTTTTGACTATTTTGTATTTAAAATACAGAATTTAAAATTTGGATATAGGCCTATAAAATATAGTTATATAATGTAAACCCTATATTCTTTTTACAAATAAATTTGTGCTTTTTTCTCTCTGAAAATAGGATATAGGCCCATACTATAGGGATTTAAAAAATATATATAATATAGGCCTATAGCCTATAATATAAGTAGCTTTTTTTTAAAGAAGAAAAAAGGATTTAGGCCTATGCAATGACAGGTGTTTATTAAACAATATAAAGACTCCAAAATTAAAGGAAAATAATATAAGACCCCACAAAAAAATTTACTTATATATCTTTGAACTTTTCTAAAATTAATAGAAATTGGATGCAAATAAAGGCCTATATGTGAATAGCCCTTTTTAAAAAAATAAAATAAAATAAAGACTTTAAAATTACAGATTATACTGACCACAAGACGAAAGAAACAAAAACTACTCGACGACACATCTTGATTTATTTCCTCTTAAAACAGAGTAAGGCCTATATATTTTAAAGAATAAATTTGGACAGTTTTGTATTTATTTAACATTGAAATACAGAATTTTAAATTGTAAAGAAGAATGTGGGATATAGGCTTGTAAAATAGAGTTATATAATATAATCCTATATTTTAAAAAAGACAAATTTGTGCAATTTTCTCTGAAATTAACACTGAAACATAGGAATTGTAAAGGAGAAAATGGGATGCAGGCCTATAATATAAGTAGTATATTTAAAGAATATGATATAGGCCTATAACATTAGTAGGTTTTTTAAAAGAGGAAAATAGGATATAGGCACATGCAGTGATTTAAGGTTTTTATTAAACAATATACAGATTCCATACATAAAAGCACACGTAACAAAATTAATAGCCTACATCAATTAAACTGAAAAACAAAAAAAAACAAAACAAAACAAACAAAACAAAAAAAAAAAAAAAAACGTAAAACATTCAAACAAAATGTAATGTTTAGCTATAAAAATAATAATACCAGTCTATTTTGCAGAAATCAATTCATTTTACTTTAGTGAATATTTTAGCATTGTGCCACAATGCTATTTTTGCCGTTCGCCGCTGCCCGAAGTCATCACGACATTTTAACCCGACACTACGACAACCCGACATCACGACAAACGACATTTTAACCCGACACTACGACATTAAATGTCGTTATGTCGCGTAAAAATTATTATAAAGATCAGTGCTCCTACGTCACTCCTTTTCTGACTTGCAGAATAGCCCAGTGTAGACTAAATGACGTCAGGCTTGTTCCTACGTCACTGCGCTATTGAAGTCAGAATAGCGCTGTCAGAAAAGGAGTGACGTAGGAGCGAGTCTGACGTATTAGAGCAGGTTATCCAGTCTAAGCGTAGTGACGTATGAACCAGCCTGACGTCATTTAGAGCAGGTTATCCAGTCCATAGATCAGTGGGCTAAAACCGAACTATTTCCAGTGCCCCAAGCAGGTCAAGGTCACGAATTTTGGTTGGCGATTTTAAGAAATGAAAATCAAAAGTGGGGTCGGCCTATCAGGCTAACTTCAGTTGGATCGGCTGTCAGAATACACAGCTTCGTGGAAAAAAATGAAATTTGTTTATGCACATTTTTTTTTTTTTTTTTTTGTATATTTATGAAAGAAAATTGTTGTTTTTTTAGAAACTTGTTTCCAATTAGATTATACAAAAACCCAAATCATAATATGTACTGTCATAATATTACAATAAATAATGACTCATTTATGGCAATATATGCTGTGACTTTTTCTTTGGAAGCCTATAGGCGTAATGAAAGAATCCATTGAAACCCCATCACTGAAGTTTCTAATAATACGACCATTAAAATATCTCATTAATAAAGGTTTCCATCGCGTTCGTTAAAAAGGCTTCCACAGCGTAGAAAATGTTGACATTCTTGTTTTTTTTTTCATTTACCATAGTTTTCATAGCCAAACACTTGTTCATAATTGTATTGCAGAGTGGATCTTTAACATAATAATAATATGAGGTAAATCACTAAATTAACGACTGGCACCAATAGACCCCCGTGAGCGGTCAAGGAAGGATTTCCAGTGGCTTCGGTTTGCCAAATTAATAAAACGAACAAATGACAAAAATGCATCTACGTACGACCTGGTACTGGAACGAAAAAGGTATTCGATCAACGTCAATAGGGGTCCTACAAAATAACATTGAAAAGAATCCACGAAGAAATATAGCCAGTAGAGGGACTATTATGGAAATATGAACAATATTTTGGTAGGCCTATATACTTATTTCTGCTTTGCCAATGTTACTGTTAAGCACGGGCGTGGGATACCAAGAAAGTTTTACACCATACTTATTGAAATTAATAGGCTGAACCAAACGATTAATGCATCCATGAATTTTTCTATTTTTCTCGCTTTTTCTGATTTCGTGACAGTCAATTCTTTTTACGTCACTTCTCGGTTCATCAGATCACTTATAGCAAAGATCCCTGTGTTAAAGATACGTTCCCGCGTACCATCTGGATGATATATGTGGACTACTAATATATTCAAACTAATTAGCTTAGTTTTGGCTTAAAATTTCTCTCAAAACGGGGGTTGGATGGCTGAATGGTTAGCACGTGCGCGCTGTATCATAAAGTCTGTCATTGAGTCAACTGGCGGGGTTTCGATTCCCCGGTTGTACGTGACAGGGAGTAGGGTCGCCTGTCCAACCTCGTGGGTTTTCTCCGGGTCCTCCGGTTTCCTCTCACTGCTAAAGACCCCTACGCGCAAGCAAATTAAATAAAATTGAACCATATGTTAGTCCCGAAATGACCTAGTTTGTGTCGAGTGGACGTTAAACCCCATTTTTCTCTCTCTCCTCTCAAAACATTGTATTCGCAAGGAAACGCCCCTAGATATATATATGATAAACATGGCTTCTAAAATAGATTTATATATATATATATATATATATATATATATATATATATTCGAAGGAATTATTAGTGAGCAGAAATTCGGCCGTGTATCTGTTATCACTCGTCGCTTCAGTCAGTTATATAGAGCGGTGACTCGTCTTTTCCTTTGGCGTTCGTCACTTCCGATTCAGGAAACCTGTATTACTCAGCTATCGTAGCAATGATCTCTGTGTTAAAATTATATTTGGAATGTGTTTAACCAGCTGTATCACATATGTGATAATGACTGGCACCAATATTGTCCTTTAAGGATCCTTGGTAGTTTTTAAAATTTTATTCGAAGGAAGCATTTGTGCTTTGGCGAGCTTCGCCAGTTGGTATTGGTAAATTATTTGTTTGGAGTTTGCGGCATTTGAGAACAGGTCTATAGTCACATCAGTGTGTTATAATTATATTGAAATGAAATATAAAGGAGTTTTAACGTCCTACTTTTCGGCACAAACTGCGTTATAAAGAATCTATGCAAACATTTTACACAAATTTGCCGCTCCATAACCAAGGTTATAGAGATGTTTTACAATTCAATACAAGTTGTAAGGGCACAGAGCTTATGCATTTCAAGAATTTCTGAAATAAAGTGAAATAGGAAATGAAATGAGGTTGAACGTCCTACTTGTCTGCACCTATCGGGAAGATGAAGACAGGCATACCCCATGCTATGGGAGAAATGTGCCAGGGTAGCGGCGCTACAGGCTTCCTTATATCGAAATCCAACTGTGTGGCAATGGTTCTTTTACGTGCACGCCAACGTGTACAAGGGCCTCGTTTTTTTGTACAATCCGAATGACTATAGACACTGTCTTTGCAAGGTCCCCCGTTATGCCCCACTAACAAGGAGAAATCACGCCGAAAAAAATTTCTCTAACACCAGGATTTAACCTTGGCCCTCAGGTAATTAAGGAGCCGGCGCTGACTGAGTCACCGTGTGTCCATTAGGCTACATCAATAAGAATAAGATGTGTTTTAAGTCTCAGTTTGCAATATATTATATGGTGGGGTGTAGCCTACAACTTGTACAACCTAAACGTACCCTACAGTTCGTAGTCTATTATGATTATCAATCCTTCCGTGCAGTAGGCCTACAGCCACATAGGACTATTATTGTTAGATTAGCTTAATCCGAACCAGTAATCTATAGATATATATGATTATGATATAAACTTTGTAATAAAAAATTCAATAATCCCCCGACAATGTGATTATGTAACTTGCCTCAGGACGAAATTTAGATCGATGTTTGGATTATATGTATTATTGGCTTTGACGACGTGCCCCCTGTTTTTTTCTGCGCTATCAGACCGGTTTAATATGATATATAAAAAATATATATATGCAATGAATTTTGATTGAGAAAGTAAGGATTTAATCAAAGACCGGCAGTTATAAATATATATGCAATGAATTTTGATTGAGAAAGTAAGGATTTAAATTATTTTCAGTTATAAATTAAAATAGGCCTACCTACGGCCCCAGCGGTAACTTTAAGTTTTGCTTAGAAAATAATTTGAGTTTGAATATTTTCAAAATGTGTAGCAGGACAATGCTGTAAAACCCTTTACGGCTAGCCCCCGGGTCCATTCACTTTTTTGAATTGTCTGTATCAGTATGTTTTTGTTTTCCTGAGTATGATATGATTTCCTGTCCGTGTATTTGTTTTTGTGTAAATTTTGTGTGGTGCAGTCCCCCTTCACTTACTATTACATAGATCAAGCAATCTTCTTGTTATCAACAGCAGGACAATGCTGTAAAACACTTTCTTACATAGATCAAGCAATCTTATTATTATCAACACTAGTGATGTTAAAAGTTCCTTAATCAGGACGGTAATTAATATTAATCCGCGAGAGAGTGCGTGGCGGACACCGTAACCTAGCAACGGCGTCTTTCACAACCAGTAAAGTAGGGGCAAGAAGTATCAAACAGTAAATTGTCCATATTGATCAGACTAACAGTTCTGTTTTTCCTGTTTAACAACTCCAATCTCTTAACAAAATGTATGAAGAAGAATCCGATGAACCCAAGGGAACTTTTGAGATCTATAAAGCAGAAGCTGACACACTTTACAAGCAAGGGGAATACAGAAAAGCGATAGAAAGTTACACAACGGTTAGTATGTTACCGATAATAATAACCTCGTGTATTATAATGATGTAGGAAAATAAAATGACGTAATATGTAAACACTACTACTTCCCCTTTGATCTTCCAATAAAATTTGAAAAATATGTGTCGTCCAGAGTGGAATTTCATTCAACTGTTAGTCTTAATCATGAATTTGACAAGTGAGACGTAGATAATCCTACACAGTCGAATAAATCAGAAAATGTGCTAAATAAACATTATTTTGGAATGGGTTAATCTGCAATACATTAACACATACTCAGATGATACTGACACACACTGTCACAATTTTACTGACTATAAATTTTAGTTGTGTAGGCCTAGTTGTACACTACAATGTAGATAGGATTTAATACTTTCCCAGAAAAGTATTTTCGGGTGGTTATTTCCAATAAAAGTATGGCAATTTTAGTATAGGCCTATATCAATGGAAAGTAGGCTATAGAAATACCCAATCTTACTAGAAAAATACTGGATTCTCTGATAAACACCCATGGTCCCATGTTAGCATGTATGGAGCGCATACAGGACTAGAATCAGTAACTAGTACTGTTGACTTTTCATTTTCTGATATAGATCTATCTGAATTCAATGAATTTAAACCATCTATGCCTGATGAAAAATTGCACTTGTGTATTCTTGACTCCTGTCCCATTATGTATTTCCAGGGAGGGTCTTAGTTATGATGCAATGTAAACAAATGTATTTTCATTATTTATAATGTGTCCATTAGATCTAATATAAACTTAAATTAAATTTGAAGATTTTCAGGTCCCAAACCCACTTTATAAAGCTTATGTGTCATTGATTTTATGATTCTTGTTTATTTTAGGCTTTAGAAATTCAAGATGGTGATAAAAATTGTCTGGTAGCCAGGTCAAAATGTCATTTACAACTTGGAGATACAACTACTGCTCTAGCAGATGCAGAACTAAGTTTAGATGATGATAAGTCTTTTCATAAGGTTTGTACTGTAGTAGGCCAACTACATTGAAATATCATGACTTAAATGACACATTATTTAGAGTATTTAGACAGAGTTTGATATAAACATAGACTTTGGATGCCATTTTAGTAAAGGGGATCATGTGGCTAAGTGGGTAAGACGCTAGCTCGCTAGCCAGGAGGTCGGGTGTTCGATCCCTGCATTGGCCGAGAAAGTTCATCCCGATTTTCCGGTGTGGTTTCCCCTTGTCAGTGATGCAGGACGGAGGGTCTGACAAGGACAGCTGTCAAGTCGTTGGGATGCGACGAAAAACTGAGGTCCCGTGTACACATTGGCGTGCACGTAAAAGATCCCTTGGCAGTTGGAATTCGATATAAGAGTACGCCGTAGCGCTGCTTCCCTGGCAAAATTTCCCTCATAGCACACTGTATGGCGTATGCCCGTCTTTATTAGCCCAGGTTAGGAGCAGAACAGTAGGACGTTAAACCCCATTTCATTTCATTTCCATTTTAGTACAGATAGATTGCAAATTAATTTAATGTGATAATAAGCTTTTATTAAGTTTTTATTCCACATTAAAGATACATTAATTAAGAGTTTAATAAAGAGTTGGTCATTCTTGCTATAATAATTCAAAAATAGATGATAAAAAAAGAAAATGTTGAAAATTTCATTCAAATTACTTCATTCTCAGCCAAGTTATCATTTTTTATAGTTTTGACAAGATGTGTGCACAGTGGTAACCAGGGCACTGGTATAATCGGAACTTAGCCTCGCTTTCCCATTTTTAAATTAAATTTTTAAATGGTGAACCGTTTTATTTTAATCTAGTTAAAATCTAGAGTATCAGATGAGATGCCATCGAGAAAGACCTGCAATAGGCAGATTTAGCTCTTGCATAATGTATGTTTAAGCATTGAGCAAAGTTAATATTAAAAAAAACACAGACTACCTAGGCCTACTTTAACTTATATGGAAAACAATCACTGGTTTATTATACTGTTTTTGGAGTGGTGGTTTGATAAGTGTTCTCTTATCATTTTCAATCAAGCATGTTTGCAGAATTGAATGTCAAAGGAAGTTTTTCTGAAACAAACTGCGTGCACCTGATAGATCTCTTAACAGTTGAAATTCTAAGAAGAGTACCAATGCCCCTTACATTACATGTATCTAAAGCTTAACCATAAAAAATAAAAGTTTGTTGGATTCAAAATGGTTTTCCACATGCATATTCTGTTGCTGAAATGTTAAAAACTTCATTCTCCTATTTGATAGGGGTGGGGGTGGGTCGAGTGATCTAATGAACACATTGTTTTAGATCATGTGGTCTGGCTGTCTTTGACTAAAGTGTTGTATTTTTGATCCTACGTTAAGTACATGAGTCTCATTATTTCTAAAATAACCCAGATTGGATTTAGTAGTTATTATTATATGCCATTTTTTTTTGTAAAATAAATATAATGCTCCTCATTGCCATCATTGAACATGTTTCCAACCTCGTGGGTTTTCTCCGGGTCCTCCGGTTTCCTCCCACTGCTAAAGACCCCTACGCGCAAGCGAATTATGTAAATAAAATTAAACCATATGTTTGTCCCGAAATGACCTAGTTTGTGTCGAGTGGACGTTAAACCCCATTTCTCTCTCATTGAAAATGTTATTAATCTACCTGTAATCTTTTTCAGGGAATATTTCAGAAAGCTGAAGCTCTTTATTATCAAGGTGATTTTGAAATGGCCCTGGTGTTTTATCACAGAGGTTGTAAATTACGACCTGAATTACAAGAGTTTCGATTGGGCATACAAAAGGCACAAGAAGCCATTGATAATTCTGTAGGATGTAAGTCAATATTTTTTTACAAACAACAAAAAAATAAGCTTAGTACTAGCAGGCCTCGATTTTATTAGGGCTATATCGTTAGGACATCAAACTGAGAAGAGAGAAGACCCTGTCACCAGCCAGGTTGTTAACTTATCAGGAGTGGTGCTAGCAAGGAAAGTGTGTCTGGTCAATCAGATTATATGAGGTCCCGTGTACATAATGCATTATGCAAGAGCTAAATCTGCCAATTGCAGTTCTTTCTGTAGGCCTGAAATGTTATCTAAATTATTAATTAGACATTAACTAACTGATCCAGGCAATAATCAACTGTCGATGACATCCTTAGCCTGCAATATTTAGTGGATTTGAATACATTTTGTGATGGATAATTTAACGTAAAAATGGATAATAGAGACTTTGTTAATTATAGAATCAGCCTTAGTAATGATGATCGAGGCTAGTCGAAAATTGAATCGTTAATTTCTTGGTTCAGAGTGAAGCAATTTGGATGATATTTTCTGTTTTCATTATCTATTTTCTAACTATTATTGCAAGAACTGTCAGGTCTTTATCTAATTTCCCTAATTCCTCTTTAAGTAGTGCACGTAAAGACCCCTTGGCAGTTAGATTTTGAAGAGGTGTAGGTGACTTCATGTCATATCTAAACAAATCAAAATATGTGTACTTATTTACTGTAAAGACTGTTGTCATGTAATTTTAAAAGCATATCTGAGGAAAGGAAGACCTCCATGATGAATGGTCTTGCTTGTACGAAATATATAATAACAGAAATATTATTGTTTGTTTACATGACATTAAATGGAGACATGAAATCAATAGAAACCCATGTTAAATTTAAATAGTCATAATGTTAGAGCATTGTCGTATTCTTCAGCTGCAGAAAAATGTAAATTATCAACTGCTGGTGATCTGTCTTTCTTCACTAATCAAGATGAGGTATGTTTATAGTGGATTATTTCTGTATAAGAAAAACATACAACTCAGAGAATGCAAGCATATATTACAAGGTAGCACTGAAAAGCTTCTAAGTAGAATGGCTAGCTCAATGACAAAATAATGACTTCACCAATCTTCCTGGCAATGGATCTTTGCTAATTTAATTATATAATCATACATATTTTCAAGGAAAGTTTAAATCTTCAGGTTCAATGATGGTGATATTTATTCAAGATTCATCAAAATGCAAAATAAATACATCCCCAAAGGTTTAAAAAACAGATCTGTCAATTTGATACAAATTACATACAGTGTTATTGATAATTGAGGTTTGTCTAGTTGTTTGGATGACATGAAAAATCAAACTTCCTTGTACCGATCCCTTAATAGAAGGTGGCTGTGTTGGCAAAACTCCCCGTCCATTCAACTCAACCATATGCTAGTTTTAAAATCTATTAAAGAAAGTTAATCAGGGTTTGCCAACCTCTTACATACCATTCATCATTTGTTCACATATGAATTCAGATGTGCAATAAAGCTCTTGTACCCCTATCTATTTCTTGTAAAAATAGGGTTATAGACATAAGTATTAAACATGTATTGAACAGTGACCCGATGATTGCAGAACAAAAGCCCATATTTCCTAGTTTGAATTAATAAAGCATATTTTTAACTGAAAACAGATTAATGTGAAATAAGATAACATTCGCTAACAAGGATGTGTGTGAAATATAAAATACTGCCTTACAATATTATCATTACAGCCAGTGGCATGCAATATGCCAGTTCTGATCATTCAATGAGTCGGAGGTTGGACATCCCTGTCTTGTATTCAGGAGGTGGTATACTATTATGTTCTTTTAATCATACAGAAACAAAAGAAAAGAAAACCTGGCATGGGAACATTTGGGCGACCTGCAGTACAACAGAAAGAAAAACGAAAAGTTAGTCGATCACAGGGCAGTGAAAAAACAGTGAAACAATTACTTGGTGAACTTTATGGTGACAGAAAATATCTAGAAAAACTTTTAAAAGAAACAGGTAGATCAAGTTTAATATATAAAACCAATCCATTTATAGGCCTACGATTTATATTGCTAGTCTTATCCTATTGTTTTATATTACAAATCAAGTTGCTGTGATGTTACAACTGATAGTTACTGGTATTGGTAATCTCCAGTTTGCTGCCCTTGATTTTTACAATAGCTTTTCATATCATGTTTTCCTGTATTTGGAATACAGTAATTGATTCAAATTTGTTAGCAGTGCCCAGTGCGATTGTTGATTGATGACGCATCCATTAATTTGCTAGCCTGAATCCACATCAAATTAATCTTAATAGAGGGCTCACCTGTTTTGGTTATATTTTATTAAAATATGTTCTAATTCTATCAGCATCTAATATTTTATTAATGAACTGAATCAAACCATTATTTTTATCTCTATTGATTTCTTTCTTTATACTTTAATTAGCTGATGCCTCGTCAGAGACTGGTAAATCTATCTTTGATCTGGTGGAAGAGGGGTTATCTTATCTTGATACACGCACAGATTTCTGGAGACAACAGAAACCCATGTACGCCCGTAAACATGAACGCATGCAACAACATCGTAGTAAACGACAAGAAACACAATCAAAGGGTGGATCACCGAATGCTTATATTATTAGTGAACTGGAAAAAATTGATCAAGGTAGGAAAATACTAACATATGAATTCTGTAGTTCGGAAAAAAAATATATTGTGTATACTACGAAAAAATCATAATTCTTACTCCAGAAGTGTATCTTTATATGCAAGCCTGGAAGGCACCTGTCACAGACTTTGTCAGACTCACAAAGTTCTATAAATTGCATGTGATACTGTATTGACATTAAACTTGACTTACATCTTAGATTATATACCCTTTTACTCTTATGTTGTTTCAAGTGGTAAGGGAAATCAAATATTATGATAAATGTCACAATGAACTAAGTAAGATGAAAGCAATTTTGAATTAAATGTTGTTCGTTTTAATTTTTATAGGCTATGAAATAAAGACTGCAAACAGATTTTATTCCCAACAAACATATTCTTATAATTACTGGATTAATCATTCGTATTCTACTTGAAGTTAAAATTTTAAAAACTATATGTCAAGTCCTCTTAGTCTTTAGCTAAACTGAAATATTCGCCAATATCAACGTAAAAAATATACAGGATGGGTGGGTCCCCCAAAATTAATTATTCCGAGTGGACAAGGTGATCTTTGATTAGAACACAAATTATATATTCACTGTAAACTAATTATTTTGATTCTAATTATATTTTAACAGCTCACGGAGACTGCAAATACAAGGATAGTTTAAACAGAGCTCAGAAATGTCTTAAAACTGTGGAGGGATATTCACCAGATACGTTATCTAACAGAGATGAAGTGATAGCTAATTTACATAGTTGTATGGGTAACTCATATTTAGAATTAGGACAGTATGGAAAGGCTTTAGAACAACATCAACTAGATTTAAATATAGGAGAAGAAACGTAAGTTGAAATGAATAAGATTTATAAATGATTACATGTATAATTAAGTATAATTGGTGTCTAGTGGTCAGAAGACCATTATAATATTTGTTTTCAGCTCATGTTTCAATCATCAGCATTAAATTTGTCCTGTACACTGTTTTTAGTCAATCAATTACTGAAATACATGTAATAGGATTGTTCAGATAATTACATGTGTGGAAGCCACTCTAAAGTTGACAAAAATATTGTGTTCACAAGATCACATCGCTTTATATCTCATTCCATTTAATCCTTTTTTTTTTCTTTTTTTTTTTTACAAGATAACCCATCAATAAAGGAATGAATTATTATTTTAAAAATAGTTCTTCTGTGAAATGGGCATTTGTCCATGTGATTAAAAGCTTATAATTATATTTAAAAACGTGTTTTCAGGGATAATGAAGAGTGTATTTCTAGAGGTTTGGATAATGTAGGACGAGTTCATGCTAGAAGTGGTAATTTCCAAAAAGCTATTGGAGTGTAAGTAACAGATACTATAAACACTCATTATTATTATTTTGAAATGACCTTAAATGGGATAAAACATCCTACGTTTTTACACTAACCGGGTTGCTGAAGTCCGGCATACATAATACAGTGTGCTATAAGAGAAATTTTGTCTGGACAGTGGAGTTTCCATCTACTCTTCATTGGTTTAGTGAGAGAATGCTTACTCACTGAACTGCTGTGGCCTCCTACCATCAAGTTGAACAGAAACTACATACATTACATTAGTCTTTGAATTTTTTTTGTCACGCCCTCTGCCACAGCAGATGTTTATTAATTTGATCTGGGATTTTTTTTTTTGTGAAGTGAAATAAAATGTTTGTTTGTATATATGTATGTAGGTGGAACAGAAAATTACCGATGTCTAAATCAGCTTTAGAGAATACTTGGTTATATCATGAGGTCGGTCGTTGCCATCTAGAATTAACTCAGTATACTGAAGCCAGACATTTTGGTGAAAAATCACTGGCAGCAGCAGAAGAAGCTGCAGATCTTATGTGGCAATTACAGGCTTCAGTTTTATTAGCACAATCACAAGGTAAATATAGTTTAACAGCACAGGGTAAATACAGTTTTAACAGTACAGGGTAAATATAGTTTTAACAGCACGGGATAAATATAGTCTTTAGGTCACATGCAGGTGACAATTAAATTAGAATAATATAACAGTCTATAATTCAGAATAGACATACCGTATGATATGTCTTAACATGAAACATTTCATAAATGTTTTTTCTTTTTATTTCAGTTAAATTAAATGAATTACAGAGTGCATTAGAGAGTTTTGAAAAAGCTTTAGATCTGGCGAAATTACAAGGTAAAGTTTATGTTATTTAAGTTAGCTATTGCATGATTGAATTTCAGAGGAGTGTGAAGGACTATAGACCTACACAAAAATGGAAATAACAAATCATTATCAGGAACATTAATTATTATGTAAATATGAATGTACCCCTATACTCCTGATTGCATAATTTAAATTTAGTTTTTAATACTTTTGAAGGGGATAAAGCAGCAGAATCGGCCATCCAGAAAGCCATCATTGATGTTAATAAAAGAATTGCTAGAGAGGTCAAAGAGAAAGAAAATCAGGAGGAAACGAATCCAGAAACAGAAAGTCAAGGTGCTCCTGCAGAAGATACAACAGAAACAAACAATACCACATAAAATGTAAAAGAAAATTAAAGGGGAGCAACTACCATACCAGATTTATGTCCCTTTCATTAAAGCCGCTGATGGTGATTTGCATTTCGAACAATATCTAATTTTTCATGTCTTACTCCATGCTAAATTGTACTCAGATTGATTATATGACATTTAAAAAAGAAAACAAGAACAAAATCAACTATTAATCTTCCGGCTTGGATTCAATCAAATTTAAAAGAGGCCTATCAAAAATTTTAGTGAAAATTGTGGGTTGTTTTAACCACATTCAAATTATATCATCTGTAGAGGATGGCCAATGTTATAGACATTTTCAGTTCATCATATCTTTGTAAATAGTGAAGCAATTTAATTGAACCATTTTGGACTGATATCCACTTCAGAGATTCAACTGCCACAAGCTCTGTAGTTCATATGGGATTAATAATCAGTCAAATGAGAATCAGAATCTTTAAGATATATATTTTTGTAACCGAGTATTCTTTTGTGTTCTGCCTTAAGTCTTTGCTATTAACCTACATATTACAAAACCCCAAGGGTTTTCAGTATATTACAATTCATGATTCCCATGCAGAAATACATAAATCATTCTCAAAAAATTACACCGAATTGTCCATTGAATATATAGTAAATGCTATAAAGTCTGGGGTAGTTCCAGAAATTGTCCAGAAAAATTAGAAGACCAGATAGCTTAAAACAGTATACTTTAACAATAGATAATATTCTCATTTATACACTGTTTTGCATTATAACAAATTACATTTTAAGCAAGAGACAAAATAAATAAAACAAAACATTTTAAGGTAAACAATACTCATTTATACAATGTATTATAATTTGAGATTATTTAATTTATATTATTATTAAAATATTTGTTGATTTTTTAAAATGATGGTATTTTTTTGTTTTTGTTAATATAAAATTGACTGAAATGGGGAGAAGCTGAAGAGCTATGGCCAAGAAACCAACATCTATATGAAATCAGATTGTAACAAATTAAGTAGACCCCTGTAGAAACAAGTTCCACAGTACTATATGGACCAGTAACTAGCCTTACGCCATCTTGGAATTGTAATTCACATTTTTCCGAGGAACAATCATGCAAAGTTTCCTGTCAATTATACTTGAATTGGTTGTGCCTTTAATTGGGCTTTTATGGACAACATGAGTAGCCCTTGGGGACCATTTCCTGGTCCACAAATACTTAAAACCAAAACAATAAATAATTTTGAGTATTATATTGAGTAGGGGCAGATACAGGATTGTTGAAAAATGCTTTCTAATGGAATTTCGGATATGGCAACTAAAATGTTGCCATAAAACAGTTTGTGAAACCGGGTTGCCATAAAACCGGGTTAGTGTCAGTGACTTGGCTATAATTGCTCAACGAATGGTCAAATTAGCTAATATTACTACACAGATGTAAGAAAAGAACAATCTACCCTAGCCCTCTTGACAGGCATTTTATTCTAATGAATCTAAAGCACCGACACATGGGTGCCAGACCATTGTCGTCTTTATATTAGAGTGTACCCGGTGTATATCCGAGTCTCAGCTGGGAAGGTGTATAGATATTGACCCTTTTTGTAGAAAACCTTGTGAACGCAGTAGAGGCTATAGTTTTTAACGGCTTCATTACAGATTTGGTGCGAATAATTGTCATCATTGGAGGACGGACCCAATTGATATTCAGTAAGTTCCCCCCTTTGACGAAAACCTTGTAAACTCAATAGAGACTAACTTTTAACGCATTCTTTTAATATTTGGCGTGAAGCATTGTGGTTATCAGTGTCGGATTACCCATGGCCACGTTAGATTATCAATAATGAAAACGACTAAATTATATAAAAAAAATGAACTAAAATATAATAAATTTGTTTATTTTATAACTGTTGATTTAAATCAATTCTGTGTTCCACAATGACGGAGGAGTATCTGAACATCATTAGGCATTATTGAACACTGAAGATGACTTGACTGGACTTCTCGGTGATCGTTGATTTTTTTAGGTGCAGAAAAGACATGTAAAAAACTAACTGGATTGAAGTTTATACCGAACAACAATTTTATATTTGACATACATTGTTAACCATTTAGAATTCAGTGATTTAAATTGTACTTTTCTAATTATTAGTGTATCAAATCAAAGAATAATCAATACAACTTTTATATAATTCAATTTCAATATAAATGTAACTTATTTTTCGGAGAGGGGTGTGGACAGGAACACCCGTGCGTATTAATCTAGCACTAGTAGTAGTGGTCATGAGAGAACGACCCCAAGATATCGATATTCAGCATTCTGCGAATTTCCATTCCCGAGTTAACCCCCTTTGCCAAAAAACCTTGTGGACGTATAGGGGGCATAGTTTTTATCTGAATTTAAAAAAAAATGATGTGAAGCGACATTCCGTTGGTAAGTAATCCCCTCTTTATCAGAAAACATTATGAAATTAACCAGGAAAATAGTAGAAAACAAAACTGGCAATTGAATGGCTCTGGTTAAAAAAAAATTAGAGAGGGCTCTACAGTACCAATGCAGGTCCAATAAAGGGCCTTAGATGTTGGTTTTGGTCGGGGTGCATTGTACTGGGATAGAAATGAAATGAAATGAAATGGGGTTTAACGTCCTACTGTTCTGCTTCTATGCTGGGCTAATGAAGACGGGCATACGCCACATAGTGTGCTATGAGGGAAATTTTGCCCGGGCAGCGGCACTATCGCCTCTCTTATATCGAATTCCAACTGCCAAGGGATCTTTTACCTGCATTCCAATGTATACACGGGACCTCGGTTTTTCGTCTCATCCGAAGGACTAGACAGCTGTCCTTGTCAGGCCCTTCGTCCTGCATAACTGACAAGGGGGAACCACGCCGGAAAATCTGGATGAACTTTCTCGGCCAATGCAGGGATCGAACACCCGACCTCCAGGCTAGCGAGCCAGCGTCTTACCCACTTAGCCACGTGATCCCCGTACTGGGATAGACTGTTCTATAAACATTTAGGTAGTTCATTGCAACGCACTCACTGTTGAAATGTTTTAATCATTTATTGAATTATGATTTATTTCAAACCGCCCAAGGTATCTAGGGAGACAGGCCGCCCTCTAAAACAATCCCTTTTTTTATCCACACTAACAGTAACTAAACGAAAATAATTACTAAAACGCTGCCAATTACAAGTTTTTGGTGGATAATGTGGATTTTCGACTCTCTCCGTTTGACATTTTTTTAGCTGCAATTTATTGAATAAAATGGGGTTTAACGTCCTACTTTATTTGAGTTGCAGGTCAATAGTTATTTAACCCCATCCCTAATAAGTTAGCTGCTCTCGTGCTATAGCACCTATATATTTGACCGAAGAAACTTCGGTCTACATATCTTCAAAAGAAGGCTTCATCTCGCTATAACTCCGCACCTATTATGTTGTAAAACTCGAGAACATGGGGTCCACCATAATCTATGGTTTCATATGATGATTAAAATGTTTAAAATATCAATAAAACTGATAATTTTGTAAACTTTTAATCACTGAAACATTAAAACAGGAACCAATACTTATAATCATAATTACTTTATTCAGCTATAGGAAGTCAATTACATATTTTCAACAATCAACTAACGTCTAGTTCCTGCCATATACTGACATAAAATAATAATTAAGAAATGGGGAAAAATGGCGAATTAATATTTATTTATTAAGTAATTTTGTTGAAAGTGGCTGGATCATTTCTCAACGATTAGTCGTTATTAGCAGTCTGACAGAAAATTGATAATGAAACTTCAATAGCGATTGATGAAGCGATATTAGCCGGAAATAACGTCTTCCTTCAAGCAGGAAACTATTTTCATCAAAATAACATGAATAATTTACCCAAGATTAATTGGACAAAAATGGCGGTCATGTATTTCCGGTTCAAGCAGGTGGTGCTATCTGAAGTAGTTACATGTCTCTCTTTTGTTGCGTGGTTTTCAGCCATAATGTTCGATTCCTGGCTAACAGATAAAGAGCCGGGATAGAAAAAAAACCAGATGTGTATCTTATCATCGCATTTAACAGGTTTTTTTTACACACTAACAGTAATTGTCATCTTTATTTATTTAAATAGACATTCGCCTAAATAGGTTACTATAAGGACAAAAATCTACTAAGTTAAAAGTAAACATTTGATTCTTCCTTAGGATGCAGTTTTTGCTAAATTCATTTTAAATCCCAAAATGGTGTTCAATATTAAGTCGATATCAAGGGACAACTTCGTCTCCATTTGATGAGGGCTGGATACGTATACCCTACCCGGACTGGTTACGTTTTAGCAAATAGAAGATGGTACACTTCCGGGCGACTACAGAGTAATGCATTCTATTCAATCGTATACATACAAAGGTGTCTTTGGTGAATTGGTGTATATATGGAAGTTGGCATTCTATCCATAAATTTATCTCGCGTATAGACTTGTATTAGGAACACCAATTCTGGTTATACTTCCTGTCTAATGCAAATTCTCTTTAATTAGTCTGACTAGCACATTTTACATTTTGTGAGCGACGACGAAGAAATGTCTGAAAGCTCAACCAATAGGTCATTTGTAAGGTGAACAAATCATATAATATAGCATGAACACACATACACCACGCAATGGGACCAGTTTCCCTATCATTAAGGTCATATTTGCAATTAACCTCATACCACTAGAAGCTGGACATATTGTCAATGTTCACGATCACAAGCATTAATATTGAACACTTCATTCGTTCCTTGTAATAACAATATAGTGTACAGAACTGAAAAGCCATTCATATTAAAATCAAATTACAATTTCGTTTCGTTTCTTTTTTTTTTCTTTCTTCTTTTTTTTTAGCTTAACTTGTAATCTAACCAATTTTCTACCATGTTTCTAAATACTCGTCCTATAACCCAGTACTGTCGAATTCACGCTTTCGCTTTGGGTATTACATTTCTCCAAAACTCCCCGCAAAACGAAGCCCCGTGTACCAGTATGACGATTTGATTGGCCAATCTGTCCACGTGATCTGAACACCGTTCTCAAAGAAATGACACGAAACATATGATTTTAATCAGACTGCTGAACGTCAAATTGGACCAATATATCCTTGGACTGCTCATTACTCAGGAACTTTTCGATTCCACTTGTTTATTCTACAGCTAATTTTTGTTTATTAACGTCCACTTGTGCTGTTTATGGAGGTTGCTTTTTAAAGTATCGTTGGTGTGTCATTAAATTAAACTTGGACTTTGGTTGACGCGGCTTCCATCTGAGAACGTAACACCCAAGGATCCCAGCCATACATGCCATGAACTGATGGATTTAGAGCAGGATAGGGTGAACCAGTTGACATGTTGTTTAAACTGATAGATCTGTAAATAAATTTGAACAGAAATTATTTTTCGTCAGGCTCATTCTTTATAACAAATGTAATTTATGTACTAAATGTTGTGTTTGTTGTTTTATAATTATATGTAGGTTTATCTTAAAGATACATTATGGGAAATTCGATAAAGAGTTGGCAGTTCTCACTATGGTAGTTAAAAAAAATAATTTAAAGGAAATTTGCTGAAAATTTCAGTCAAATTGATCTACTCTGAACCGAGAATTTAGCGATTGAATTTTAGGCCTAGCATCGATCATCATTACTAAAGTCGGTACGATAAAAAAAAAAAACATAGTCTCGATTATCCATTTCATGATTTAATCATAAATGAAAGTTGAGCAGCAAATCGGATCCTAATCCAGTAAATATCACAGGTTAGCGATGACATCGAGAGGTGATTATTGTCTGAATATGTTAATTAATGGCTAATTAACAAAATTTAGATAACATTCCAGGACTAAAGAAAGACCTGCAATAGGCAGATTTAGCTCTTGCATAATGTATGTTTAACTGACTGAATAATCATGACTCTGGTCTTAACTTAGGAAATGAAATGAAGTGAAATTGGGTTTAACGTCCTACTGTTCTGGGGTAATGAAGACGGGTCTTAGTACAGGGCTGATATATAAAGCAATATATAAATGTACTAAAATTCCCAAAATATATCCATAGCGTGTTACAAAAAAAAAAAAAAAAAAAAAAAATATGTTAAATGGAAGTTGAAAGTATTTGCATAAAAAGAAATCCAAAAAGTATTCAAATCGATCCATTTGAACTTGAGTTATGGCCATTTGGGGTTGAAATGGGTTTATATTGATTTATATAGGTCTTATACACATACAGTAATACTAATTATGTTTTAAGTTTCAAACAGGTCCTTCTTCATGAAAGTTACATAATAACAATAGTACATATATTTGACTTTCGAGATGTATATGGGAATTGTAATAGCTTCCAGCACTTATAAGTAAGTACCGTGTGTTCATTTTTTAAACATGAGTCGTTTCTTTGGTACCTTCTATCAAAAGGGGAAGTCACTACCTCTTGGAAATTGACAAAACATAGTCTTCAATTAGGTTGATAAGATTTATGCTATTAAAATATTCATTATATTAGATAAAGCAAATGAAGGTCTCTTTACAAATGTTAGTTTCTTTTTTTTCTCGTTTATTTCGATTTATTCCAACTATATATTCCAAATGGTACTGTCGAATAATGGCGCGGCCCGAAAAGAAACTACTTTTCCACTTGTCGAGAGGTCTCTTTACGAATGTTAGTTTCGTTTTTTTTTTCATCGTTTATTCCAAATAGCACTGTAGAATAATGGCGCGGCCTGAAAAGAAACTACTTTTCCACTTGTCGCTGGGGGGAGGGGGAGGGTGCACTCAGTGGCTATTAACAGTTTTAATTCGATTAATAGTAGGAGGATTAAATCTTGAGATAAGCACTGATAAAATAATAAATAAAAATAATAATAAAAAAAATAAATAAAATCTTTAATTTCAATGTACATACACACTTTTCAACCCTTTTAACCAATGTGTGATGTTATATATGAATGTATCGTGATGTATATATATGATAATGATAATGTAAACGCCAAGTTCTCGACTAGAATTATATTTTACCTAAAATGGTGATCAAGGTGAGCTTTTTCAATACGTTTGTCTTTAGCTCGGCGATTTTGGTACCATATTTTAATTTGTGTTTCTGTTAGTTGAAGATCATCTGCTAGTTCTAATCGTCTAGTCCTGGTAACATATTCTGCTCGTCGATATTCCATCTCTAATTTTAACGTCTGTTCGCTGCTGAAAGTAGTTCTTTGACGCCTGGGTTTGTTTTCGCGTCGTTTTCGATGTGGAACTGACAAAATAATACACAAGAAAATATGTAAGCATAATTCTGTTGAATTTTACTTTGATAATTATTTATTAATTATAAGTAATTATAACCTGGTTAAATTGAAAGCTTGATTAACGGTTTCTGGTATTTAGTCTATTAAAAAAATTAATAATTCAATACTTTTTGCACGTTACATCACAGAGAAAGAAATTATGCTGGGCAGTTTAAGATTTGGTGCAGCAGCTAACTGCATAATATCAGGGGAATCGTTCAAATGTGGATACTAGTATCAAAATTGGCACACATACGCCTTTGGGTCAACTCTTTTGGAAACGCCCATCAGCAATTTCAAAATCCCAGATGGCGGCAATCTTAAAAATAGCCGACTTTCGGGCAACGAAATATCCAACACTACTAAAAAAGGGAACCACCCGGAAAATCCCGAACCCGTGACCTCCGGGTTAGGGGGATAGTGCCTTACTCACTGAGCCATAGCAGCTACCAACATGAAACGATATATTACAATCTGAAAGGATTTGTCTTTTGACCTACAAATATTGAAAATTCAAAAACAAGACGATAATATTCTTAAAATCATCATTTTAAAGACTTAAAATACGCCCACTTGCATGGAATTTAACGTCTCGTCAACACAATTATGTGTGACTAAGGGTAATTGTCATTTCAATGGTTATGTCAAAAGGGGTGGGGTGGCAGGACGTTCTTGTCTACTTATCTTCGAATCCATCTGTCAATGCACACGAGTGGACCTCATGTGCTACTTCAAATAAGGGATGAATCCCACGCCGGGATTTGGACACGGAACATTTTAGTCGAAAGACCAGGAGCCGGTTTATACAACCAAAATATTTCTTCCTTAAAGATACATTATGTAAGATTTTGATAAAGAGGTGACGCTTCTTGCTATAATAGCTCAAAAATATATAATGTAAAATGAAAATATTGAAAATTTCATTCAATTTACTTCATTCTGAGCCAGGTTATTATTGTTTGTAGTTTAGACAAGATGTGTGCATTGTGGTAACCTGGGCACTGGTATATTCGAGACCTAGCCTCGCTTTCCCATTTTTAAATTAAATTTTTAAATGGCGAATCGTTCTAATCTAGTTAAAATCTCGAGTATCCGATGCCATCGAGAGTTGATTATGGTTTTCTTTTGTTTCTATCTAATTAATAATTTAGATAACATTTAACATCTAAAGAAATGCCTGTAGTAGGCAGATTTAGCTCTTACATGATCTATGTTTAAATTTGAAGCTAATTTAATTTGAAGGTTGATATTTTATCTACGCTAGTGGGGATTTAAAGAGGTTCCATTTAAGTTAAGTCTCCTTAAAGCTGATACCCGACTCTGTTAATTGAATACCTTAGGTTTATGCCCTTAATGTGGTCGCTTAAAGTTTAAGCGAGTTAATTGAATACTGGCCCTGTTAGGGTCCGGTGATGAAGATATACGTCCACATTAAGGAATTTAAGATGTTGGACAATGATAATGAATCCTGATAATTCATATTTTGGTCAAAATTAGTTATTCCTACAATAGGACAGCAGCTAACATCATCTTCTGTTGTATTTGAAATAGGGGTCGCGGGGGCTAAGTGGGTAAGACGCAGGCTTGCTAGCCTGGAGGTTGGGTGTTCGATTCCTGCATTGATTCGATTCCTGCGTTGCAATGAACTACCTAAATGTTTATAGAACAGTCTATCCCAGTACGGGGATCACGTGGCTAAGTGGGTAAGACGCTGGCTCGCTAGCCTGGAGGTCGGGTGTTCGATCCCTGCATTGGCCGAGAAAGTTCATCCAGATTTTCCGGCGTGGTTCCCTCTTGTCAGTGATGCAGGACGGAGGTCTGACAAGAACAGCTGTCTAGTCGTGCGAATGGGACGAAAAACCGAGGTCCCGCGTACACATTGGCGCGCAGGTAAAAGATCCCTTTCCAGTTGGAATTCGATATATAAGAGTAGTGCGTAGTGCACTGTGTGCCTCATAGCAAACTGTATGGCGTATGCCCGTCTTCATTAACTCAATTCGGAGCAGAACAGTAGGACGTTAAACGCCATTTCATTTCATTTCTGTATTTGAAATACATGTTCATAAAGATAAACATTTTAAATATATTTAATAACGCTATATGATTATCTATCTGGATTATGTACGGAGGATAAAACAATTTCAAAAGTTATAAACAAACCCCAATAACGACTACAACATGCTTCTTTTATAAACCGATAATTATTAATATTGAATAATGTAATACTTACCATAAGGTGATACTGTTTCCGAAAAGAAGAATGGTCTAGACGTAAGACTTGGATTGAAATGATTTAAACTGGACGAAATAGACGTGTAGGCGTTTACGCATCCTGTGTCTGATTTTAAGAAAGATCCGATGTTAAATTTGGATAAATTGAGTCCAATTGGATAGGACGGAGGTGCCTTTAATCCATGGGTGTGTGCTGGAGAGATAATGTTTGTTCTGGCTGCAAACGTAGATGGCGATGACGAACAGGATGCTGGAATCGAGCTGGATACAGCCATAACGAAGAACAAACTTAATTCACTTAAACATACCTTTCTTTAACCAATTTAACGGTTTGTTGATTAAACCCAAAACAAAAACAAAAAAAGACTAAAGCGATAATTTCAGAAACCGAATTTTACACAAACTGCATAGAATGTCGTTTTAAAATGAGTGTAAGCGCTGAAAGAGTAATTGTATAAACGTTTTAATTATTAGAGTTCCAAATAAACACGTGTATTCGAGGCATGAGAAGAAACAAGTGTAATGGCAAATGAAGCGTGCACCTCTCATTTTGTATATCCATCGAGCGAATATTATCTTCTAGGATCAATACAAATAAAAGGTTCTTTTAAACAAGATTCAATTGTTCCTCCACACATAAAAGAGTCGTTTTCTTGTAATTATTGTTAGTCAGCAGTGCTAATTTCCGGCTCGACGAAATCGTCTGCACGCGAACCAATCACGACCCCCTTACCACAAACGTTACTGCCGACTAACAAGGGGGCGTAATACTTGGTTTCTGAGCCTTTTCATTTTGAATCGCGACAACGTAATTATAACAGTTGAAAGCGATAATTGAGCGATTAAGAGATTGATGCCGCGAGCACGTGCGGACAATAAGAAACTAATTGATAGTTAATAATTAATCTAATAATTTACAGTAGCTTTATCGAAGCCGACATATTTGCCACTTGTACGTATACTCATGCGACGTGATTCAACAAAGTAATAGTCCACACGCATCTATTCAATAAATACGTCGTTTAGATTGTAACGATATGGTATCTTAAAGACTACGAAAGAAAATTTTAAAAAAAGAAAGAAAAACAAACTTCAAACTTCGAGAATAGACTTCTGTCCTAATTGGCCACCGTATCCAACAATTAGCACACTGTTTACTAATGTGCTCTAACTCCGGTGCACATCGGTTATACCCAAAAAGACTAATGAAACCTTTTCAACTGTATTAAAGATACATGTAAGATTTAGATAAAGAGCTAGCCATTCTTGCTATAATATTTCGAAAATAGATAATGTAAATTGAATGGCAAGGTACATATTGTCTAGTCGTTATGATTGGACGGAAATCGAAGATCCCGTTTACACGTTAGTGTGCACGTAAAACAACACTTGACAGTTGGAATTCGAAACAAGCGTACGTCGTAACGTCGTTGTCCGGGCACGTCACAGTGTATTCCCGTCTAGAATAGCCCGGTCGGTGCAGAATAATAGGACAAGTATTTAACCCCGTTTCATTTCGTGCTAACGTTTTCTGTACCACGACTCAAGAACTGTTTAAATTGAGTAATTTCTAAATGTTCGTGGTGAAAATTTGTAATGCGGCTACTTTTTATTGGGATAATTACAGATAATTTCTAAACATTAAAACATTAATGGCTAATTATTTAATTTTATACTCCATCAATTTTTGATTTAGATTATCCGAAGAAAAGGATTTCACCGGTGACTGATTTTGTATTCAATTTAACACGTGCTCTATGTAACACGTGCTCTTTATCACGCGGTGAAAATAATTGTCTCACGCTGTGAAAATTTGTATATAAACATGCGTCATTCTTAATGGACAACAAATCTTTGTTTGAAGCTGGATGGAAGGGGTGATGTACGATCAATGGGTGATAACTGGAACAAAATGTACTAAACTGACTGTTTGTTAATCACAGTTTCGGCGTTTTCACAGTAATAATGTTTAAAAGGGAGAATGGAGCCCAAAGCTCACCCACAGCTAATTTGGCCACTTCGGGAATAACACATTCACGCCGCATGGTTATTTTTATTTCAACAAATTTGCTCGCAAAAATACAGATTGATATTAAAGGTACATCATCACGAAAGCAGTTTTACGGTAGTCATTACCAATAAAATTATGGTATGTTTGGTATATATGGAAAGTAAAGACACCTAATCTTACTAGAAAAATATCAGCCACGGTGGCTCAGTGGGTAAGACATTGGCTCGCTAACCTGGAGGTCGTGTATTCGATCCCTGCGTTGACCGAGAAAGTTCATCGGGATTTTCAGGAGTGGTTCCTTCTTGTAAGTGGTGCAGGGCCGAGGGGCTGGCAAGGGACAGTGCATAGTCGTTCGGATGGGACGAAAAACCGAGGTTCCGTATACACATTGCCGTGCACGTTAAATATCTCTATAAAAGTAGGGCGCTAAGCGCCGGTGTCAGGGAAAAAGAGCACACTGCATGGCATATTATACCAGTCTTCTTTAGCCCTGTCGATATATAGGTTCGCTCTCAATCAAGTCACGTGACAATGTCGCTTGAAATAGATTATTGGTGATTTAGTAGCAGTCGTGGGATTAAATTGTTTTGACATGGATTTGAAAAAAACATTTGATAGATAAATTAGGTTGAATATATTTTTGATCCAAACATATCATCAAATTACACAGTTAGTAGGCGAAAAGCCATCTTTAATTAGACTACACATTATATGCAATAATTCTAATATAAAACAAACGAGTGTCATAAAAATAACATGTCAAAACGATTAATAAATAAGGTATAAATAATTAGTAATCTATATATTCGCTGTATCACACCAAATACTTTATTTACAAGTATTATATACATGTTAGTCTTTTAATTGATTTTAAGTGCAATGACTAAATATAGATAAACAGCGGAATCCATCACATCCAATTCTTCCTGGATGAGTTGTCTTTTCAGGTCCAACACCCTTTCTTCAATAATTTATTCTGATCGGTGATCAATACAAGCACGGCGAACATATTACTATTATATTTCCCTTTCTTAGCATCAGAATACTGTTTAAAACATGAACAAAACAAACAAACAAACAGTGTATAGATACAATTCATCTAAAATTAATTACATTAACAAGGAAACATCATTTGACAAATTTAACGACATGCAATCGGCACGTCCGAATTTTAAATTATGAGATAAATATTAAAATAGATAATGATATTATATACCTTTAAAATGGTTACACTCGATTTCCAATAAATTTAAATGAGCTAAATGAATTCTATGTTGATGATCAAAATACATTTTAATACATGAAAGTTCATCTTCTCTGATGAAGCAATTCAAACAACCTTACTGTGTATGTGCGTTTTGGGGATTTATTTCTTCGTTTGAAATAGTTTTAAAAAATTATATTGTCCATTAAGATATTTGTTGGGTTTTTTTGCAGAAAATATTCACCAATACCCAAGTAAAGGAAAATTCCAACACGATTGATTTCCACTCTTACATTCCTATTTAGTACAAATGTTTACTGTGTAGCTCATTAGGCAGCCGTTTCCATTTACTTTTATTTTCTAATTTTAAAACAGCGAAATTCAGTAACATACACAATACACATAAAATTATTTGCAGAAGTGGTACTCCATACAGGTATTTGGATTTGATATTCAGAAGTATTTTGGGTATACTGTTCGCGACCAGAATTAATCATGGTGGTGGTGCTGTATCTTACTGATAATAATTACGTCCAGTAGAATTAAAAAATGGATGATGACTATAGACATTCATGCTGTAGGTAAATAATAATAATGTCGATTTCATTTTGTTTTATATTTGATTTGTTTTGTTTTAGGACAATCTATCTCCGTTAAAAACTTACGTCCATAGATAAAGCTAGTGTTGAAATATATCTGATTTTATGCTCTCTGCCCACACTGTAACCGACAATGTTACTAGAAACAAATTAATCGTATAGAGTTTGCCCCCCAATAATCGCAACAAAACGTCGGATCAACAGAATTCCAAACCTTATTTTGACTTAAATCAAAGGGGTTTACCTCTTATAGTAAACACAGTTTGAATTACATTTTCTATAACCGAGTGTCTATATGTGTATAATTATTAGATGAACGAGGTCGTGTCCTTTTAAGATTCTCATAACCTCTTCTAAATTGTTTGCTCATTGTATCTTTGGACTTTTTAAGGAAATTGTAAACAGGATCTTCCGGGAGATCTTCTGTATTATAATCGGGTTCAGGCAGGTCGTACTTAAGTTGTATGCCTTGCTGTTTAGCCATCTTTATGAGACCCTTTGTAGTTTTTCGCAAATTAGGACCCCTGGTATGATACGAAGATTGCCGAAGAACCCGTCCATTATATTCCATCGGCAAATCAAAATTAATTGGCTTTAAGATAGAACTGCCTTGTCGGAATGAAGAAAAGTTGCCCCGCGTTGAACGAGTCACTGGGATATTATCTTTCATTTCTGGAGGCTCTGTTCTGCTGTTTCCGCCAACTATTTTATTTATATGCAGTTGCTTGTAAAAGTCAAGGGTTTCTTCAAATTTCGATCCAAAATCTACCGATTTTTTTAGATCAGTAATGGAAATTATATGTAAGAATGTGCCCCATCGGTGTTGGATCATTCCAAAAAACTGAATCAATATTACTATGGCAAAAAAGAAGATAAACAGAAGTCCAAGAATTTCAACTGGCAGCGATTCCTCCTTATTCGTTATAGTGTTTTTGTATTTAATTATAATTGTAGTTGCTTTTGATTCGCCAAACTGAAACATGAAATTGATACCAATCCACAGGAGGTTAGCCACCGTCATCATAAATACAACATTATTCCGCAGTTCTATTAGACTTTTTTTGACAATCTTTTCTTTTTCGGGATCTTTATCCAAGGGTTTCAAATATTTCCTGATAAAATCCTGCCAGAAATTCAATTCTTCTTCGTCAAGCTTACCTACAGGACCGTTCTGAAGACGTGGGTCCTCGGCCCAGAATGGATTTATAAGATCGTTTCGCCTAATAGTTTTTCTTTTTGGTTTTTCTTCTTCCTCTTCTTCCTCCTCCTCGACGTCTTCTTCTTTTACGATCTGATCCACAGGCACGTCGATTCGAACATCGTTTCTGTCAGTATCATTTTCAGTTTCCCCAGGCTTCCCCAAGAGTTCTTTCAAGTTCCGGTTCATGGATTGTAGTTCTTTTAAAACTTGTTCGTCTTTAGAAGATTTACCTAGGACGAATGGTTGAACAACTTCTTTAATATCATCAACGATGCCTCTACTACAGGCGAGTTTAGAGAAGAAAGAAACTTCTTTTTTCTTCTCAGCTGCAGCTTTAGCCTCCGCGGCTAACTCAGCCTTGGATTTCTTTTTTGGAATTTCACGCGTTCCCCATGAAACGTTGTCCATATTACAAAGCGAATAAATAACGAGCAGCAAATATCCCGAGGGTATACAGATGAAATATAAAGCTCCTGGAGGCAGGCAGAATAGTTCATACGGGTGAAGTAAACCGGCAAATGTGAACAGGGAAACTAGGGCAAGCACGAACAAAACACTTGGATTCAGAATGTCAGTCGTCACGGCTTGGATAATTGTTCCCGCTAACACCATTACCATTATAAAGGCATAAACAGTACTTAACACACCTGCTGCCAATAACTGTGTCTGGGCTTTGGATTTCAGGCATATTATGACGTATACTATAGTCGGGGCAAGTGAAATCAGATAGCTGTAAACGACCGGTAGCTTAAACACGGCCGAATAAGCACCAGCAATCATCATAATTACTGTTGCTGGTCCAAGTATAGTAGAAACCATTAGAGTCCCTTGGTAGATGATGTAAAGTATACTGATGTTATTGTTGACGGCTACTGTATTTTTGTAGTCGTTTAGTAAATCCATGATATTGGCTAAAGTTGAAGGCATCCAGCGTCTCCTCTGGTTAAAGAACTCATTAAAGCTTTCTGGAGCGTAGGTAAAAGAATCAGCAGCTGCAGCATAATCTACACGATAACCCTGTTGTAATAGCAGTGTGCACAACCATCTATCTTCACCTGTAAAAACACAATATAAATTCTGACGTTATGATAATGGGTATTTTAGATTCAAAACTTTGTCAAATGTAGGATAACTTTCCACATCGATAAACAAATGTTGCGGATCACAAATTAATTCTACAAATCGGACAAATGCTTACATACACAGTACATGTAATACGGATATAAGATGGGATGTTCAATACGAACAACATTGTTTGCATTAGGTGAATATAACATGTCACTGAAAATCTTTTGATATTTTCCAATTGGCCTTAGTTACTTAGTTGCCAAAATATTGTTAATTTGAAGAGACTGAAGAATTTAAGGGCGGAGTTGGGAACAAACTACTTTGTCGATGAAATAGTGACAAACTTTACCTTGATCATATTGTAGATAGTGACCAGGCTCACTAGGTAGAATTGTATATTTCCTCATAACATTTTCATCCATAAGTGCGGATCCTCGAAACAAACTAAAACAACCAGGACTACACAATACACATCCAAACACGTGTTCAGTAGCCTTTTGCAACCAGTGACCTACTGCATATTCAAATTTTTGGTACCAAACAAGAGGTCCTATAAATAATAATATATGCATTTAAAACTTTCTGTAAATATTACAAGTATTATAATAAACTTATACAATCTGTTTCCCGTGATCCATTTCCTGAAACTAATTGGCTGTTAGCTGAGAGATACTCGTTGGTTTTCAAAGCCATGTTTTGTGAAACCAAAGGAAATTTCCCATGGTAGGCTATAGCAACGGAAAATCGCGATGACCAAAAGATTATGGATTATCTTTACAATGTCAAGGTGTTTCAACATACTATATCAGATACCTTGACTGCATAAGATGACTGAAAATGTTATAGATTGAAACTGTTATCTGATAACGGTTTGGCCAATAGCCGTGTTCGGTGCGATTAATGACCTTCAGGCATCTTATTTTAAAACTACATTCGGATAACTTTCACATGACAACAAAATCGACCAATCGTGGCGAAGCAGATGGTATGGTAATTGCTGATAACTTACCTGATCCTATAGGGTGAATTCTACCACAGGCAGCACCAGCTTTATCATTCTTCTTCATTCTATCTAACAACAACCTTACAGCTACAGACGAAAAGTCAGTGTCTCCATCCAGAGCCAAAATAAACGTGTTCTTAGACTGAAAAATAATTAAAGTAATGTCTACTGTATTAAAAGTCATATTTGTTTCATTAGTGTAACAATATTTTATTCTTTTATTAAAGAGACATAATGGGAGATTAGATAAAGAGCTGACAGCTCTCACTATAATAGATAATGTAAAGGAAATTTGCTGAAAATTTCAATCAAATTGATCCACTCTGAACCGAGGTTTTAGCGAATTCTCGGCCTAGTATCGATCATCATTACTAAAGTCCGTACGATAAAAAAACCCCCAACATAGTCTCAATTATCGATTTCATGATTAAATCATGAATGGAAGTCGAACAGCAAATCGGAACCTAATCCAATAAATATCGCAGGCTAGCGATGACATCGAGCGTTGATTATTGTCTGGATAAGTTAATTAATGTCTAATTAATAATTTAGATAACATTTCAGGCCTAAAGAAAGACCTGCAATAAGCAGATTTAGCTCTTGCATAATGTATGTTTAAACGACAACCGTTGTCAAGGTTGAGATTTGGATAATTAATCTCTCATTTACGTAATATAGGCAGCACAACCCTAAAAGCTCAACAAAAACACAGATCGATTCAGATAGTCAAGCCAACGGTGGAAATACGCCCAGACATCCGCCATGTCTCGACAGCGGCTATGTCTCGAATAGCGATTTAAGTTAATGACTCTACCTTGTTTTTCACTTCCTGTGTTAAATGGTTTCCAAGATCAGCGCCTGATTTCCAATTTTTCCTTTTTCGTTTCTTCTCATCTTTGAAATCCTCTAGAACGGCCTCCTGACAGTCTTTCAATAGTTTAAAACCAAGTAAATAATACATGTACATTACCTACAAATAATATAAAATGTAAAATGTGACACGGGTGACCATGATGTTGGGTTAAAGCAAAATGTGCACCACACGTAATTATATAACATTTCACTTTAAAGTCGTGTGTTTCCGGATTAATAAACACAATTTATCTTGTAAAGCAAACACAAATCCAGATCGTACAACAACAAAGCACTCCGTCGGCATCATCTTGTGTAGCTCTTTCTCGGAGTTACTCCAGCAATTTGTTCATAAAATGAAAATATCAAACAAGGAAATCGCCACACTTAAAGGACAATATTGGTGCCAGTCATAATCACATATGTGATAGAGCTGGTTAAACACATTCCAAATATAATTTTAACACAGAGATCATTGCTACAACAGCTGAGTAATACAGGTTTCCTGAATCGGAAGTGACAAACGCCAAAGGAAAACACGAGTCATTTCTCTATATAACTGACTGATGTGACGTGTGATAACGGATATACGGGCGAATTTCGGCTCACTAATAATTCCTTCGAAGACCAAAAGTTGTGTGAGATTGTGAGAGAATAAAAATAATTGACTGCCACTAGATAAGTGAACACGAAAGAAAAACAGAAAAAGTCCGTGCATTACCATGTTTTTATAAGGTATAGAATGAATATAAACAAGGGAATGTACAGACTATTTCTATTTTTCTCGTGTTCTCTTATCTAATGACATTCAATTACTTTATTGAATTGTCAGGTATCCTCTTACAGTCCCATATAACAACTTTTGTTCTTCTAAGGAATTATTAGTGAGCAGAAATTCGGCAGTGTATCTGTTATCACTCGTCACATCAGTCAGTTATATAGAGAGATGACTCGTGTTTTCCTTTGGCGTTCGTCACTTCCGATTCCGGAAACCTGTATTACTCAGCTATCGTAGCAATGATCTCTGTGTTAAAATTATATTTGGAATGTGTTTAACCAGCTCTATCACATATATGTGATAGAGCTGGTTAAACACATTCCAAATATAATTGTGAGAATGACTGGCACCAATATTGTCCTTTAAATTATGACTTGGGACATTTTCATTTCAACAAAATCATTACTGATTAAAGCGATATTAGGTAAAATTAGATAAATAGCTGAAGTTCTCGCAATAATAGTTACAACAGACATAATAAAAAGGGAATATGTTGAAAATTTCTGTCAAATTACTTCACTCAGAACCTTGCTATCGGCGATACAATTATAGTCTAGCCTCGATTGTCATTGCTACTGTTGTTTCGATAATAAACAAATTAATGTCTAATTAATAATTTATATAACATTTAAGGCCTAAAGAAAGACTTGTGGTAGGCTTATTTTGCTCTTGTATATAATGCCTGTTTAATATCAGGAACATTGTAAGCCACTTCAATTTCAGTGTTTGACAAAATCGTTCCTTTTGATTTGTAAGCCTTGTCAACGGTACAAGACGGAGGAAAAACGTCTATTACCGAGGTTCGCCTGTGTACACGCAGGTGTGGACGTAAAATAATTCTTGACATTTGGAATTTGATGAAAAGTCGGAAAAACCGTTGTCCGGACACATTTTCCCTCATAGCACACTGTATGAGCCCAGCTGGTGCAGAAACAATTGAAATGGGTTTAAACTTACCTGAGACCATCGTTTTCTGTGTCTGATTTTGTTTTTATCTTTTATATGTATGTATAGATTATTACCCCCTGGCATCTGGTATATTAACTGACCACCATATGGCGTGGGTATCTTTACAGGTGGATGCGGTATCAGAGATTGATTATGGACAGAGCTGAAAAGTACAAATTATGCGAAAAATTGTCATCTGACTTACATTTTCAATATATTCATTTTTCATTATCCACTTTTGAACTATTATAGGAAGAACGATCAGTTCTAGGTATAAATCTGGGACGCATAGACAGAAAATAATTTAAACAATTTCTACTGTATTAAAAGCCATATTTGTTTCATTGGTGTAACCATATTTTATTCTTTTTTAAAATACAGATGTGACGTCATCCTTTGATCTTGGCGTACCATTATTTCGAATAATGGTACGGGCAATGTGCCAAGCGCACTAGTTGAAATTTTGGACGCGCATGACGTATTTCATTGCAAAGCACGTGCGAGTGTCTGTATTTTAAGGTATCGAGCTTAAAAGACAATATTGGTGTCAGTCATTATCACATATGTGATAGAACTGGTTAAACACGTTCCAAATATAGTTTTAACACAGAGATCATTGCTACGATAGATGCGCTATGCAGCTACAAGAAAGGGAAGTGACGAACGCAAAAGGAAAACACGAGTTATAATTATATCCTTCTATATAACTAACTGAAGTGACGAGTGATAACAGATACACGGGCGAATTTCTGCTCACTAATAATTCCTTCGAAGACCAAAAGTTGTTATGTGAGGCTGAGAGGATGTTATAGAACTGGTTAAGCACGTTCCAAATATAATTTTAACACAAAGATCATTGTTACGATAGCTGAGTAATACAGGTTTCCTAGATCGGAAGTGACGAACGCCAAAGGAAAACACGAGCCATCCCTTTATATAAGTGACTGATGTGACGAGTGATAACAGATACACGGCCGAATTTCTGCTCACTAATAATTCCTTCGAAGACCAAAAATTGTTATATGGGACTATAAGAGGATACCATTCAATTCAAAAAAGTAATTGAATGTCATTAGATAAGAGAACACGAGAAAAATAGAAATAGTCCGTACATCCCCTTGTTTATATATTTATTCTATACCTTATAAAACATGGTAATGCACGGACTTTTTCTGTTTTTCTTTCGTGTTCTCTTATCTAGTGGCAGTCAAGTCTTTTTATGAATTGTCAGATATCCTCTCACAGTCTCACACGACAACTTTTGGTCTTGGAAGGAATTATTAGTGAGCAGAAATTCGCCCATGTATCTGTTATCACTCGTCACTTCAGTCAGTTATATAGAGAGGTGACTCGTGTTTTCCTTTGGCGTTCGTCACTTCCGATTCAGGAAACCTGTATTACTCAGCTATCGTAGCAATGATCTTTGTGTTAAAATTATATTTGGAACGTGTTTAATTAGTTCTATCACATATGTGATAATAAGTGACACCAAAATTGTCCTTTAATAAAAACATAGTAATGCACGGACTTTTACTATTTTCCTCGTTGAGATTTGCATACTTAATCTTAATGCATATTTAACAACATAAACAGTTACAGTTGACAATGCAAATGGTGTTTCCATTTTTATAATTTTAAAAACCCGAGATGTCAAACGTTGATAAATACCTAGAAGGGCTCAAAATCACACATTACCCCGCCCCCATCCCCAAAGCCTCTCTTACCAGCTGCCACGCCCCCAGTATTCATACGGCTTGGGTGGAAACATTTAATTTCATACAATGATTTGTCACCTTTGTTGAAGATTTACTCAATAGTCATTACCTCACAGCTTCTTGCATACATTCCACTAATTGGGCAACAAAATCATTAGCGTGCCATTCTTCATCATCGTTTAGTTCCATGGCATCATCAAAAAATACATGGGCTACAACAGAATATAATAATAAAATATAAAATCATATTTTCGAAACTTCGGGTTCGCTGTATCTTGAAAACAGATTTAACTTCGTTGGTGTGTCTTCTTTTAAACTTCCAATCTCGGTCTAAAGTCATGGCCAGAGTGACATCAGATCTATTGATGTATCAAAATCTTTGATGTCGATTTTTTTTAAGGTTTCTAAGAGACGATCAAAGGCTTACTTTCGCAAAGAAAACCCTTAGTTGACGGCATAGATCTAGAATGCGAATGTATATTTAAAAATCAAATGGCAACAGATCTTGAAAATAGGATGGAATAAATTTGAATAATACGGGACATTATTGGTTACTAAATAGATTATGTCTAGATTGAGATATTATTCTGTTTCATTCTTATTGGTTTTCAAATTCAAATTCATAATTTGTTAATGTATGAAACCACGTGTTGATAGCCATTAAGTAGTCCAGCGCAGATTGTGTTTGTCCCCCAATAAATGGAATCCGAAATGTTAACAGAAATCTAGAAACAGACGCTAGATTTGGATTCTCGATAATCAAACACACCCCTACCTTCATAGTTGAAAAAATCTGGATCAGTTTCTTTACTCGAGTTTTGGGCCTGTCTTCTCATCCACTGATCAGCATCAATTCTATAACATAGTATCATATACGAATACAACTGAATATAAAATGATAGTCCATACAAATAAAACCCGAAGCACTTGGTTAGATTTATTTTCCTTTTGTTCTTTTTGTTGTGCTTGGTAATTGGGCGATGCTCTTTCAGAAACCTAAGTTTCGAGTGCGGTTGACATGAAACTTGACATGTTTGTATTTTGGACAACTGCGCATCGAATGACATACAACTCAAAGAACCCATGAATCATAATTGAAAAAGTCCCCAATTCGAGTAGGGACGACAGGAAACTTGTCGTGACTGTTCCTTGGACTAGTATGCATTGGCAGACTGAATCAGATCTCTGATATGACGTCACCTGTTCAAGATGGCGTCGATTAATTGGAATATGCCTATGTCTCTGTCATTTCGAATCTGATCGTAATGATACTTGGCAGGATTGTTCTTAGTACAATATGTATCATGCATATTCATTCACATTTCCTGGCAGCGATGATGTCACGAATCGAAAAATGCCAACGGCGCTGCGAGTTTAAGCGTGATCGACATTGAACTTTACAGAATTGTCCTTCACGCAACTACGATGGAACTAGATTTTCGATGTGCCGTCACAATTTCAAATACCCAAAGTCTCTCATTACATGGTCGGGTCCTGTTTCATAGTACAATCGTATTTGGTTTTACCTGTGAAAGGACTTTAAAAGTTGCACCATTTCTGTTCTAGTTTCATGCCACATAGTGGCACATGCGTATATGACGGGGATGTCTTCTTCTTGTGTCTCCTTATTGTCTGACGTAAACATACTGGCTGTCTCTACGTCATTATTATTCTCATTATACATGTCATCATGTTTATTTTCAGTACTAGCCAATGTGTAGGATCGACGAACGTTCTTTTTGCCTTTATCGTGATGTACAATGATCTCCTGCACTCGGCGCATGTGTCGACGTCGATTTAACATGAAGTTCTCGGCAGTGAAGATACCACAGTACAATGGGTTAATGAACATTCTGAATAAAGAAACAACAACAGCTGTCAATGGTGAATTGGGTTGGGGTCAATTAGTATCCCACTGACTAATAAAAGGGGGGCGGGGAGGGGTTCAACACGATTCTGGACCAGCATTTACCTTTTATATATAAATTTATTCATATCTACTGTCAAAATCTCTCATTAAAAGAAACAATCTAATAATAAATGTTACCTTTCGTATTTAGCTAATCGTTCTTGTCTTGGAAACCATATATGTCTTGTAATCCATAGTAAAGACAGATACCATACAACACCACCTGCACTCAGTAGAACCAAGTTCTGGGTTCCGTTTACCATTTGCTGCAATGGTATTCCTTCACAGATGGTATCATTAAGGAAACCGGACTTGAAGAAGGGATTTTTACAATCGAAGTAAGCAAACGCAATGGCGGTTGGCGTGGCGAGCGTTAAAGCCAGTGAAAAAGATACAATTTGCATATTCAATTTACAAGCGATGTATCCAACATAATAAATAACTATACCGCACATGTTAAACAATATAACCGGACCCAACAAACTCGATTCTTCCATGTATTTACTTAAGTTATCTGACAGGTTCTCTAACTCATTGACACCGTAACCGAAATACACCGAATGCGCATATGTCATAGCGATGGTTAATGCAATCTTGAAAATATTTGCGATTGCCACAGCATGCTGGCGACCCTCCTGAAGCTCGAAACGAATAGAGAGAAACAAGTTTTGCAGTTTGCTCTTCTGGTTAAGATCACACAGGAAACGATCATCAACAAAATTTTCCCACCACTCAAATGATACACAAATAAAACCTAAGATAAGCATAGCATACACGATGAGCATATTTGTACCGCTGGTATGTGTATCATAGATCTGGTTTTCTGCTGGTGACCATAGTATAGCTAAAATTGGAATAACCGACATTTGGCCAATTATACAGAAAATGTCCAGAATTGTAGATACTGCTTTTCCACATTTATTGCCGGAACATTTAGCCACAGGGGCCACGCGACTAGCTTTATGCGTAGCAGTAATCAAGTGCATAATAGATGGTACTATGGCAACTGCAGACAATAAGAGAAGTCGTATCATCCCATGGACCATCGGTAAAATACCGAACACAATTAAACTGAGACCGAATGTATGTAGAGATTCCATTACCAATACCTGAAAGATAATCGGGATAAAATAAAAATAATTGAAAAGCTTGGGTATATGTCATTGAAGGACAAAAACATACCCGCCGTGTGGCTGGTGTTCACCTTAAGGAATACCCCGGGACTCTGTGCGCACAGGGGCCCATGATAACGACTCATGTAATTAATCTAATAAAAAAATATGCTTTATTTTTCACTTAGTGAATTATATGACAGTTGTGATTGTTGAAGACCGGTGTCCGTGGAAGATATCCCCCACACTACCCTACCATCCCCCAAATCATGCACTGGGCCGGCAGCTAAACGCCGCTCTCGACATCGCTGATGGAAAGGCAGCAGCATATTAACCACGACCTTTAGCTATAGATTCATGTATTGGAAAATTAGAAAAAAATATTATTTTTATTTTTACGGGAAAATATTGGGAATTAATTGCAGTTCAGAGAGGCCGGTTATGTACAGTAACCACGGTCGTGTTTGATTGCCACGAACACAAATTTCGATACTTAACAGGTTAATACAGAATTTTGAATACTAAACCAAATGTATGAATCCAAGAATCGGCTTGCGGTAACGTGGAAAATTCGGATTCAAAATGATGGCCATTCAACAAAAACTGAACACGCCACTATTCCGTATGTTTGTTTGTGACTCGAACCTGGACTGAGAATCTGGATTTCCATTCCTGGTCATCATGCCAGATTTGTGTAAATAAAATGTACGTTTGATTCAGAAGCAAAGTCACAATCATTGTTTGTGACACGGCACTATCAACACATATTATTCAGTACTTTATAGGCATGTGTATAGTTGTTAAATACACAGCAAGTCACAATGTTCCAATATATATCAAAGTCAAAAGAGCAACCAATGGAAACCTTTATCGGCTTTCAGTTAGTATTTTTGATTGTAAATCATACAGGAGTTTGAACTATTTTATATCGTTATTGTAAGTGTTTGATAATGATTGGATCAAAATGCTTTGAATGATGCATGGTCTTATATCTTATATTAACATATATTCTGACTTTAAGCAAAAACAAAATTAGCCAAAACATAAACTTAAAGAAAGTCTATATAGACCTACCACTACTAAAGTTACGCCTCCGGGTCTTTTAAAATTTCCGAACAAGAGTTTCAGTGTACTAACTATAACATTTAATCCATATGGCATACATATCACCAGTATACAGTTCATCAAAAAGGCAAATTGTTCCTTTCCTTTCATTCCCTGAAAAGTACATGCAATATCTTTAAATGCGCTTTTAACCGTATTATATTATCTAAAGCCTATTATAAAATGCTATGGATTGTTATAAAAAAAATGTTTTCTAAATTAAAATCCTTCTATGAGTTAGAAATCTTTGATTTAGACACAAACATATTACTGAATTGGGTTATCTGAAGTGTTCTGAAAGATTAAACTCAAGCCGGTTTATTTACTAATTCTAGTTTATATTAGTGTGTCGTTTATTCAAATCAAATCAACTCCAATGACCCAAATCAAAGAAGTCTTCTGAATGTTCTTGATCCGAATATATTTCAGATACATTTCAGTGAATAAAAAGGGTTAATTCTGTGAGTAAGCCTCTTTGAACTCTTTATCTTAGTCCCACGTAACTAACATCAGCTCTGTGAAATAACAAAGTCATCAGGATGAGTTGGGACCACCTACTTGCCTAACAATTACCTTTTGTCTGGATAAACTTCCACTGTGTATTTTCTATTGTCTTCCAGCGAGACATGGAACTTACCGAGTTTTAATTTCCGCCTGGCAGAATATTACAAACGGTATCGGGGGTTCCAAAAGTGGGATGGGTGGGTGGTCTAGTCGGAGCAGAAAGGTGGGACGTTAAACCGGATTTCATTTCATTTAATTTCTGCACTTCATGTGATTTAGTCACATGTTTAGACTGTGATTGGTCGACTCCAGATCAATGAAAACATGTGATACATAACATTCTACGAAGTATTTCGACAGGCATTGATTATCACAACTTTTGATTGTCTTTCTAATCAAGTTCAAGGGTATTTTGTGCTGTGGTCATAAGCCAAGAGTGCACTTTCTTTAAACATGTCTTTAGATCTTCATGGAGTGACCATTCGCCTAGACGGAACGAAAACATTATTATCATTTTTACTTTTATGCTGACCTCTGACATTTTCCTTCTTGGAAAGTTAGCAATGGATGACACTAGAGTTAGCTTCTGCAATACACAGCCACCTAACAACAGCAGGAACAGGAAGCCATAAAGAAAGATTTTAATACACCGTAACAACTGGTGGTTGTTCATATCTGTCTCTTGTTTATCACGCGCTACAATTTCAAATGTGTCCCAATATCTAAAAATTAATAATGAAACGTGTAAAAAATTGTAGATATATGTCATTTAAAGGCATAAAAAGACAGATCTCAAAAGTAAAGCAAATATCTACTATGTTAAAGTCAGGGGTTTTATTATTGTAATTAATGGAATGCAGTTTAATGTTACATCAACATAATACTGATTTAGTTTTATTTCTGTGTTTACGTGTGTAATGCGTGGTAGCAAAATGTTGTTCCGACAGCGCCAACTCTTCCTTGAGACTTATAACACGGGTTTTCGTCTCGCCGATAAGGCACTGGACAAATTTGTCTTGCAAGCCCCACCAGCCACCATCCCTAACAAATGAAGACCGGGCTTAAAAATAACGAAGGGATTCGAACTTGGGACATTCTAATCGAGAGTCCAATGCATTGATCACTCTATTACTACGACCCTCGTATTATGTAATTAAACACACGCTTATAGAAATACCTTGAAGGAAAATGGGAGAGCTTGTACAGCAAAGACCATGTAACTATTCTTACTTTACTTGTATAAGACACATATAGATAACGCTGTTAAATGAATAGAACTCAAGGCAAACTTTAATTGCGTCGGTCAAAATAATATTTGGACACAATATTCTTCTTTTTTTTTATATAAAAGTACGGTACCTGTGCATGCCCATAAACTCAATATATAACCATTATCCCTGGTAGGTCTTTAAGAAAGTGAGAGACGCAATTGTCTGGCATTTTAAAACCCCCAAAACAAATGTGATGAAACACGTCATACTAAAGCTTGTGCTGGATTTATTTGGGAAATTTACGATAAAGAAGAAACCTATTGGCATGGTGCATATTTATGGTAAAATAATTTTAAAATAGTAATTTGATGTTGCTAAATATGAATTAATTAGATGCATACTTGTTGTCCTCATCTTCCTCTTCATTGTCATCGTCGCCAAAATAATCATTGTTATTTGTATCGTTGCTATTATTAGTATCAGAGAATTTTGCATATAAATCCGCATCGGTGTCTTCAGTTAAGGAAAAATCGTAATCTGGTTCTGGTAATGGTGTTGGTACCTCACCTATTGGCGTTAGATTTCCCAACTAAAAATAGCAGTATAATACAGATCAAACACATACAAATTCCTTTCATAATACTGGTACTCTTCTGCACTGGCTAGGCTAATGAAGTCAAGCATATCCCATACAGTGTGCTATGAGGACAGCGGAGAAACCCCACGAGGTTGGACTGGCGACCCTACTCCTTGCCACGTACAACCGGAGAATCGAAACCACGCCATTTGACTAACCATTCGGCCATCCATCCCTCCTTTCATGCAAAAGAGGTTCTAAGATAAAAAAGGCTCTTTGCAATTGCTACACCTACATTTTAATGTATGGACTAAAAGTCTATATCAGCATTTCTGTTGGGAATGCTAGCTGTGTCTTTAATTGTTTTACCTTAGATAAAAAATTTAATTAAACATACCGTATTTTTGAATCTAACTGATGATTTAGGTTTTATTTTGCTTTGACTGCTCAGTTTCTTTCTAATGACGGCTTCTTTCAATTTAGTTATATATTTACGAGCACAGTAGTCCGTTAGTATTTCGCGCAGTCTCAAGATTCCATCTAAAAAGTTCTTGACACAATCATACATAAAAACCTGCAATATAAAGTGAGGACATTCATGTTTTACATAGGTATACGAGCCAGGGAGGCAGGGCAATCTGACTTTTTGGGCAGACGGGTAAAGTGAAATTCAACCGTCTTAATGCTAGATTCCCACTGCCTCGATTCGCGCCAGAAAAACGTGTTTGTGGTCGCCAAATTTTGCAAACTGTCTTTGTTGGAGGAAGTGGGAGGGGGCTAAAAGGTAAGCTCCGCTCCTTCGCCGTTCACAGACGACCGGCACCGCCGTCTGTAACCCAGATTTTTTCGGGGCATTCCATTTTCTGCCCCAGGAACTTTCCTCGAGCCCGTACGCCTAAGAAGATTGTTAAAATTTGTTCACCTGTCAGTCGGCAGAGATAAAAGTCTCGTACATCTATTGAGAACATGTCCAATCCATATCGGAGATAATACTAGACTGGATGAGCTAGTCTATGCATTAACCATGTAGAAGAAAATGTTCATATTATAATAAATACCTGTGTATTTCCAAGACGATATTCCTCACGATCAAAATGTCTCAATAACATTTGACACACATCCTTATCACTCCGCATAGATGGAGATTTTGGAATGATTTTTTGATATCTAAAAATGTAACAAATTAAATAAATGATGTAAGTTATATTTAATTATAATTTTAGGTAGGACTACTATATATTACTAATTCTACTAAACCTGAACAATCATTGTTTCGATAATTAAAGAAGCTGTACAACTTTGATTTAGGCCAAGTGATGGGGTTAGCGGTATACAATTAAACTTGAACACATATCTTATTTTCGTTTTTGGGTTGAATTGTCGACAATGGAACACAAAATAAGTCAAATATCAACATTAGTTTTATCTGCGGACCTAAATAGTTTACTGCCCACCTAATATACCAACTTCGCAAGTGATATCAAATAGGTATAAGCATGCAAATATTGCTCATATTTAATAAGTAAGTATTTTAATTTACGTCTTCAAGATGCATTGCAAATCTGCTAAAAGAAAACAACAACATACATCTTAGTTCTATGAAACAAACTTTTTATTTATAAAATGTTTGTTTTCCATATATCCAATAAATATTAATTTGAATTGAACCAGGTCGCGCTGAAATAATATAAGTTATGGAAAACGTACAGAAAATAAAATAAAATAGAAGTCTATTCACCGTTTGCGAAAATCTTCATATTTTACCCGTAAGGGATATGCCAGCCGACGAATATTAGCTATGTCTTTAATTCCAATGTACACAAGCTGTCGATGAACCTTCTCGCTAGAGAAGTAATCTGGACGTTTTTCCATGTTAGGTTTGATACATCTGAAATAAAATAAATCTGCATCCATATTTGCTTAGACTAGAGGGTCGACTTTAATTCCGTGTTTTGTGTAGACCTTAGGATACAATAAGCAAGTGTTTATTTAATGGAGAAACAAGGTGTCATCGAGAAGGATGTGCGTAAAGATAAAAGAAATGCATTCTTTAGTGTTTGTTCGGTTGTTAATTGCACATCATAAGTGTCCACCAGGGTGAGAACATGTTACCTATTCCCTCTGTGTTATTTAGTAATGAACGCCAGGATTAACGCCAGTAAGTTTGCAAGTTAGAAAAAATTGACGTCATTAACCAGCCTTCAATCTACTAATTGGGGTTAAAGCAAAGCAATTAAACAAACCTGATAAAGATGGGTTCGGCTGATGCCATCTTCCTCAACAAATCTTTTATAGAGGTCTGAAATATTGAATATATTCAAACAAAGATGAGAATAATATTTTCAAAATATGAAAAACATATTATAAGTGAATTAGTTATTGCCAAGCTTTGCATTAGATTATAAAATTGCAATAAATATATTTTCTAATTAATTAATTCCCCTTTCTGATTCTAAGTAATTATATAACAACAAAATAATTATCAAATGTTCAAGCGCATTATTGAAATAGACTAAGGTATATACTCTTGACAACTGTGTCTGGATCAAAAATTGGAGATCGGTTTTGGATTACGGGGTAAATCTGATGAGAGGATATAAATTACCTTAAAATATGACAGCACCGTCTTGTGGTCTTTATCAGGAGCAATAACAGAGACTTTACTGAAATTAGAAAAGAACAGCAAATAAGTTTGATTTCGTTTGTAAGATTAGCAATCAGCAATATTGCACATCGGGAATTATATCCTTATCATCACAAAAACGTTTTAGTTCCGTGAATTACGACATGACTAAATTGTAAGTGTAACAAGAAATAATAAAACAAGTATAATTAATATAAAATGAGACGGAATGGAAACGCACCACGTATTTCACTGGAAGTGCTGGCAACATTGACATTTTCAACAGTTTTATTCTAAAACCGGATCAAATACGCCTTGTAAATCTAAATCAAGTTGAAAAGAAATCTATAGACCACGAATATACCAACTATCTGTTATTTGCACTGTAAATGGGTTTTCGTCTGATCTCAACGATTAGATACACCTTTTCTAGTAACATGGTCTTCTCAGCTTACATCCGGATCCAAACCAAATATCTTAACTACATGAACACTATCGTGACTACAAAGTCAAAAAGTAAAATATCCCTATCTCAATATACTGTCCAATGCCATGTTATATTTTTTCAAATGATACAAGTAGTTACCAATTCATTTCACTGTCAAGTGTAGAACATACATTACATCAACATACATTAAATGAATGTTTTTATTAATGCGATTATCGATTGTCTCACCTTTTACCAACTGTATTTCGTAGTTCATGCAATGCTGTTTTTGTAATAGCCGATCCAGCTATAGGTTTCATACCCATAGCTTGTCCCCTATTTGACTGTCTATACTTGAAAGCTGTCCTAAAAGAATAAAAACACAAACATACATTTAGTAAGAACAAAAAAGGAGAATTTCTTCCAAGAACTATCCCGGATCTAAGTATTGAAACCGTTCGATGTTTCATTGGTTGCACTTTTTATTTTGCATGTTTTACGAACCCAAGAGTGTCATCAAAAATTTAAAGCTAACACAAAAATTATTTTTTAACAATACGTGCACAGACAAAGAAATATCTACGAGAATGAATTGATGACATACGTCGGTGTTAAGAATCCAGGATTGGGTTATTACTTACGCTGATATAGAACCGGTAATTGAGGATGGTTCAGCTTGAAATAAATCACAGATTAGATAATTCTCACTCGCTTTAATACAATCTGATAAACCTTTACTTAAATTATCTCCATTTTTCTCACGGAACTGTGAGGCATCATAATGGACCTAATTAAAAGGAAAAAAACTAAACGTTACATTCATTTTAACATAGTACGCATTGTTAAAACTTGGTGAAAATGTAAATTTGGATTTAGCTTGACATTCGGATGCCACTTTGGAGAAATATTTTATCATTTAATTCAATTGTCTACATTAATTCAGTATAAAGGGTTTGTACTATTTTGCTCTATTTATACCGATTATATTCCATGGTGCAGATTTAATGAAAATTACAACATGCCAGATTAAAGGTTCCTATGTACAGAGTTTAAAACCAACCATAAAAAAAGCATTTGTAATAACATTCAAAAATGACTCAAATTGCTTTCACAACCCGGCCATTATAATTCTTACCTCTCCGGCAAAATGTTTGATACCGAACTCCGGCATTTCATAAGTGTTAGTGATATATCGATTGTGTGATGAATAATATTGTGATATTTTTCTGATCATCGACTCATTGGTAGCGTGTGAAAGTTTGGTATCTTCATCGATTAAATCAAGTATGCCATGTGTGTTCTGAAATTAAAAACAACAACATTATAAGTACGAGGGCAACAACTCAAATGGGTCATTGTCTGTAAGACTAGTAATTATCTTGCTATTAAATCCATGAATTTTCTTGGCCCAGAATTCTTTTTCTAACACCCCTATGACCTTTATTTATAACCTCAAATGACCCAACATGTCACAGTCATATGATAAAATATTGAAGGTAGTTGATCTTTTGAATTTTAGGCCTGGTTAACGAAATCTATAGAGTGTGACCTCAATTTCGTATCATGGATAATTTCCCTCATTCATGTTCGTTTACTTCCTGATCCTTCCGTATCAAAATCACGAATATTTATCAAAACCTTACAGAAAACGTAAATTGAAACAATCGTCTTCGAATTCATGCAAAGGGCAGACGAAAGGAAAAAGAAAAATATGCTGTAACCGAAATAAGAGACAATAATTATTTTAGATAAATATGGTCACCGGCGATTGCCAATAAAAAAAGGGAATATGACGAAGATTATAATAAAGAGTATCATTTATTGGATATATACGGTAATTGCTTACCTTATCAAACAAGTCAATTATATCTGTATTGTTTGGGTAGGTATTAACGCTTAGAATTAAACCTTCACTTTCATATATTTCCTTTTCTTGTTTAAATACTTGATGGTTCATAAAATTTTGCAGATGTTCATTAACCAAATTTATACACATTTGTTCCAAACTATTGTTACGCATGATTTCAAATCCACTTATATCTAAAATACCAACACTTTCCTGGCACTGGTCTCTGTAAAAGACGAAAAATAATTAAGGTTGACAAAACAAGAAATCATTGGTAATATAATAGTAATTGTCATCTAACGACAGCAGATGACATGAAATGAAATTGAGTTTCCCGTTCTTTTTCTCCCCCAACTGGCTTGACGAAGGCGGACATACACCTTAGACTGTCAAGAGTTCTTTACCGTGTACGCTAACATGGACACTGAATCTTCGTTTTTCATGCCATTCAATCACAGCGAGCATACACACAAACTGCCACCCTCACCCACACAAACAAAATGTTGCAAATGTGTTAATATTCTGTTTTAGTACTGTCAAAAAGCCAAGAAAGTATACGCCCCGCTATGTCGTCACCCGTCCGTCAGCAATTTGCTGGGGTCTTTTCAAATTTGATGTGAAGCATTGTGGTCATGAAAGGACGACCCCTTCTCCAACCAAAAAAAAACCCCCAAAAACAAACGACCCCCCCCCCCCCCCAAAAAAAAAACCAACCGTAAACGTGATAAAGGCTATAGTTTTTAATGGATCTTTTTCATATTTTGTTTGAAGTATTGGGGTCATCGATCCCTATCGATATTCATAATCCGCAGCCTTCAGTTCCGGAGTTATTCCCCCTTAGCGGAAAACCGAGGCGATGGGTTTTAACAGGGTTTTTTTTTCAAATTTAGACTATGAACCCTAGAGATCAGATGACTTCAAGGATCCTGGATCCTTATCAAATTTGCGAAACATCCAAGTTTTCCTTTCAGATAAGCCCCAGTCAAAACAAGGGTGCTGTGTGAACATATTCCAAGATTTTGAGTGCTCACATGATATTGTGGTTAAACCGACAGACGGGGTGACGACAATATGTCCCCACTAAATGTAAGCGTATAAAACGATTCTACCTCATTGCCTTTGTCGGTTGTAAAGATAAGTTGATTCTTCTGATCAACCAACCAAATAAACGTTCATATAAAGCTTTGGCTAGTGCATCTCTACCATTCTCAGCTTCTTGCATATTTTTTAGCTTAGTGATATCTTCGCCTAAAATATAATCATTTAAAACTATTCCTATTCATTAGAAATGAAATGAAATGAAATGGGGTTTAACGTCCTACTGTTCTGCTCCTAGGCTGGACTAATGAAGAGGGGCATACGCCATACAGTGTGCTATGAGGGAAATTCCAACTGCCAAAGGATCTTTTACGTTCATTCTAATGTATACACGGGACCTCGTTTTTTCGTCTCATCCGAAGGACTAGACAGTTGTCCTTGTCAGACCCTCCGTCCTGCATCACTGACAAGGGGGAACCACGCCGGAAAATCTGGATGAACTTTCTCGGCCAATGCAGGGATCAAACACCCGACCTCCAGGTTAGCGAGCCAGCGTCTTACCCACTTAGCCACGTGATCCCCTCCTATTCATTAGAGATGGCATCCTATAGAAAGAGCAATTACACCTTACGTTACATCGTACAAGACATACTTCGATAATTCCAAATTGAACAAACTGTATTTATTTTAGACTACGTTTGTCGATGATTATCTATGATAAATTTTCCCCTCTCTTGAATTATATAAATAAATAGAAATATCTGTTGGCTTGTCTCAAAATAACCTACGTAAATTATTGGCCTTTCTTTTGCTGATAAATTTTGAAAAGGGTACTATTTTGAAACCAGATTTACTATATAAGGGGATATACTTAATATTTTATCTCTTAATACTGTAGAGTCTGAAATAAACAGTGAAATACCACAAGGTCAATATATCTCAACGCCTATTCATAATACGTTACTGCTACATTACCTCCTATGTGCACTCGTTCAGAAACAAGTCGTTCGGCAAATTCTTTAACATCCAACTGTAATAAATTAGCCGCTGAAAAAGAGTTAAGAAAAAAACTCAACAATAGTTGAAAAATAAATTTCAATTTTTGTGTTGGGTATATACTAGGTATTATCTTGATCTCGATATTCATTGATAGAAATGAGTTATCTTTTGCTTGATAAAGTCAATTGATATTTCATATTATATAAATTTCAGTACTTTACTATTGTAATTATTAAATGCCACGCAAGAAGTATCACCAATATACAGCTGAACTACAAACCTTGGTAGGAAAGTGAAACTTCCAAAATAAAAGAGAAGTTCTAAAATAATCACTGCTTGCTTATAGCTAAATAGAATTCTGCCATTTCATTGGCCAAGATGTAAAATTTGAACAATAATTTTAACTATCAGCTAATGAAATCATTGCATTCTTAAAATATTTCAGTTTAAGTTTACGTGAATTAAGTCCCAGATACCCAATCTTCATACCAAATTTCAGGCTTAAAGAGACATTATCAATTCCAATAAACTTTTTATTTTCAAAGTCATCCTGAAAATCCAAACACTGATCCTTAGAATAATGCATATGGCAAAAAACTCATTTTGAAAACTTTATAACATTGTAGTAAAAATCGAATTTCCACGGGTGGATTGACAGATTTGTCTCATATTTACAATCTCTGTTATAACTGTATTGAAAACTGATCACCAAAGAGCGAAAATTTCTGTTAACTTACCTTTTATCATTTCGTCTTCATTAGAAACTATAACACCAATTGATACGTCATCGTCAAATTGAATCTCTGTTATATGTAATATAGCGGCTAAAATAACATGCACAGCGTCTATATCCTAAAATATTTAAATATATAAATAAATAAAATGTTTCCAAGCAAAAGAGGTCGTATCATTATAAGAAGTTTCATAATGTGATATATACTAGAAATATTTCTCTATTTTTTTTTCTATTTTGTGTGAAGTTGGGTGTGGGTCTAGTGCTGTAGAACATAAGGTACGTTAGCAATGTAAATCATGGGTCCCCTTCCTCCCCTCTCTCTAAATTAATTTAAATTATGGTAATTTTCAAAAATGTGATACTGTCCACTGAAAGTTTTAAGCAGTTGTATTATAACCATCTTTTCTGGGACTTCATATAATGTTGGTTACGTGGGAGCGTGATACCTATTTACGTTACACGGGCTGTAGTATGTGCGGTTTGAGACCTGGGGTTAACCAAGTTAACGAAACGAAACACTGTAAAATCAAAAAATAATGTAACTTTTATCAATGCCCTAAAACCACGAAAACGTTGGACGGAATTACAGACATGTAAGTTATAATTATTTATAATTCATCTTAATATCAAAATCAATTAAAAACAACTTACTTCTGATGATAATTCTAACAGTGTCAATATACGTATACATTCTTCATACTGGTGTGAATATCTTTTAGCATGTCTAAACCAATTATTAGCAATTCTAGAAAAAAATAATAATGAGATGAAACAACGAATCAAAACATAGCATTCTACCAACAACCATATTGCTAATCTTTATTTACCCGGGTCTAGCATTGTCGTAACACGACACTTTTGCAATTCATTTATGGCAAGATTTTAGTGCTTTTGTGTGGAATTTTTCACCACAGGAGTTCTACAAGATATTGGAAAATGACAGATATTCTACTTTAAATACATGTAGTGTCTGAAAAACACCATAGAATAAAATTTTTTTAGAGTATACTTTGGTCAAATCTTACAAGTTGATAGGATAAACTATTAATGATCCATGAAAATAAATAGAAATGTTTTATTAAGTCCAACTTTTCAACACGATCCAAAAAGCGGCCATATTTTTCCCATATAATTCTAAACTGTCATCCCTGTCTTATTCTGCAATTGGCAATATTACATTTAGCTTGATATAGCCGCTAAACCAAAAGAAAGGACCGTGCATCTAGGCTTTAAATTTAATACACCACAATTGATACCAACATTTTATTGGATCTTCTTAATGTATTGTTAAACAATTAAAGATACATTATGGGAGATTCGATAACGAGTTGGCAGTTCTCATTGTAATAGTTAAAAACTAGATAATGTAAAGGCAATTTGCTGAAAATTTCATTCAAATTGATCCACTATGAACCGAAAACTAAGCGATTGAAATTTCCGCCTAGCCTCGATCATCATTACTAAAGTCAGTACGATAAACAGCATAGTCTCGATTATCCATTTAATCGTTAAATCGTGAAGGAACGTTATGCAGTAAATCGGCTCATTATCCACTAAAGATCGCAAGCTAGCGATGTCATCTAGAGTTGATTATGGTCTGGATAGGTTAATTAATGTATAATTAATAATTTAGATAACATTTCAGGCCTAAAAAATACTCGCAATAGACAGATTTACCTCTTGCATGATGTATGTTTAACATAAATAAATAATTGTCTCATGAGGCATAGTTCAATTTATCTATGTAATTGGAATTAACACAATCTCGAGAAAAGGGGGAAATTACCTGAAATCTTCTTTATCTAAATAAAGGTCTTTCTTGAGTGCTGGTTTTATTCCAGCCAGGAAATAATAAAATATATGGAAATTCAATTCTCGAGCTGGTCGATGAACGACTCTACTTTTCTCTAAGAGGTAATCAGTTACAGTAGCTGCAAGGAAATAACAGCAAATTTAGCACTGAAATAGTATATGTCTACATTGGCATTCTGTCGAATTCAGTTTTTGTGTATTTGAGAGATTTCGTCTATGTTTTTTACGCAGTCCCCAAGTCATCATTCTCGCGTACGTGTTATAGTCGTGATCTGATGCTATTACATTCATAATACATTAATTTTGAAAGTGTATCTCCCCAACGAGATTTACACTCATACATTTGCTCTACACCAATCAACCTGGTTAATATAGACAGGCATAGCCATGTAGTGTGCTATAAGGGGGAGGGGGCGGTATGGACAGACAGCGGCGTTACGGCTTACTCTAATTTCGAATTCCACCAGATCAAGCGTTCTTTTAAGTGCATGGCAAAGTATACACGGAACCTCGGTTTTCATATCATACGTAGCCCGTAGCTAGCCCAAAAATGTTGGTGCGGGGGTGGGTGGGGGGCAAGGGCTTCTGGGGGCGCCGATGTACCTACAGTTGACGGTCCACGGCGAAAGAAACAGTGAACGCGCCTCCCTTTGGAGAAGGGTCTAGGGTGCCCCCCCTCCCCAGAAAACTTTAGAAAATAGGGTATGCACCTATGAAAATGACCGAAAATCCGCGCCTGGGTCAATGGGGAACCATGAAGAAAAACCACGAGGTACTTTCTCAACCAACACACCGATCGGGTCCGAGACCTGGCGGTTAGAGAGCCAGTGCCTTACTCACAGATCCACCGTGGCTCATTTATGCATCTCAGCGTATTCAAAATGATTCGTTGTTGATATTAAATTTAGAAGCTTGTATTGAATATTTGATTTTCTTTACCGTTAATACGAGAAAAAATTAAAACAGCATACCCCCTTTTACCCCTCCAATTAAATTAAACTTGATTTGTATAAACTTGGCGAAACGACTTGAGTTTTCATTTAATGTAGTTTCTGCATTTCCAAATGCTTCCATCAGAGGATTAATCTGTAATAATCACAAGAATTAGAGTTGTAAAATAAAAAAAAATAACTGAAACAGTAAAAACTTGTTGGGCCAGAAGGTTTATATATTTTCTAAATTTAACAAAAGGAAGGGATGTCTAGTGTTCTGAGACAATTATCTATATAAAAATAGCTAGATTAGATGTAGTATGGACCTTGGTGTTCATAGATAAAAATGAGTTATTCGTCCGTAGCCAACAGAAGTTCTCAGACAAAAATAATGACGCCATGCCATGAAATCAATAGAAAGCAACGGGAACATTAGGTGGTCACAACCGGCTTTAGGAAAATTACCTTTTTTAATGTGAATTTACAAAAAGTCTATAATTTCATTTTACGTCTGTAATAATTCGGCTCTAATTCAAGTAAATGAAATGAAATGAAATGGGGTTTAACGTCCTACTGTTCTGCTCCGAACTGGGCTAATGAAGACGGGCATACGCCATACAGTGTGCTATGAGGGAAATTTTGCCCGGACAGCGGCACTATGACCTACTCTTATATCGAATTCCAACTGTCAAGGGATCTTTTACGTGCACGCCAATATGTACAAGGGACCTCGGTTTTTCGTCCCATCCGAACACAAGGGGGAAATCACTCTAATTCAAGTAAAAACTACAAAATCAGATAAGAATCCGTTTGAAGAATATATGAAAACTCACCTGTATCAATCGTGAATGTAAATCGCCATAGGTGTTTCCACACATTTCTAATAAATGCTCTATGACGTGTTTGGTAGACTCGGTTTTGCCAGCCCCCGATTCTCCGCTTACTAATATAATCTGGTCTGTCTGAGTCTCACGAAGTCTTTGGTAAGCCAATGCTGCTGTAGCATATATATGTGGCTCTTCTTGGGATATCGGTTTTCTCCAGTGATACCGTTCATGATGCTGCAAATCGGAATAAAAATAACAAAAAGGTGTATTATTTTATATCACCAGAAATTTTCTCTAGTGATACTGTTCAATGTTCATGATGCTGCAAATCGGAATAAAAATGACATTTATATTAAGTGAAACAAATAGGTGTATTATTCTTCAGTACGAAAAACGTAAAGCACACAGAAATTTAACGTTGGCCTAAGTCGATGGGCAAAAATTACATATCAATCAATTATTGACTCCTTTAACCGACCCTATATTAAACTGGAATGGGGTTGAACGTCTCGTCAATTCAATGGTTATGGGTGCAATGCCAAGCGTTCTTTAACGACTTGGCTGCAAATTTACTTGTCGACCTCGTTGATGCCATCTCTGACAAAGGAGAAACAGGCACGAAAAGAAAATTTTACGGTTTATTTTCCTATACCAAAACGGAATCAGAACCCAAACACAAGGAAAGAATACCTTTTAATTTTGACTAGTGAGATATTGTACCCGATGTTTAGAATTACGTATAAATCTTATTAGTCACATGCACTAAGTGTCAAAACCTTTCATTGTAATCGTTTTTACATTTGATAATAATGCACTATATAAATAATATTGAATTACAATATTTAATTCTTACCCGTTTGTCATATTTTGGCACGGTTTTGTATGGATTAACAGCTATTAAAATATCACCACATCGTGACTGAAAGAAATACGATTTACATAAATTAAATATAATTACGTGTAAACACAATAAATTTACATGGAGATATTTTGGGTTTATCCGTAAAGTAAGAACATTATTTATTGACACGGTTAGATAGTAATAATTCAAAATACCTGGGCCCGTATTCAAAGGTATTCTTAAAGTTGAGTAAAAATACTTAATTTATCCACTTAAATAAGTGAGTTACCTTAAAGGACAATATTACATATGTGATAGAACTGGTTAAATACATTCCAAATATAATTTTAACACAGAGATCATTGCTACGGGAGACTTGTAACAAGCACTTGAAGAAACGGGAAGTGGCGCCAAACATGACAAACACGAGTTGTCCTTCTATATAACAGACTGAAGTAACGAGTGGTAACAGACAAACGATCGAATTTCATTTCACTGATAATTCCGTTGAAGTTGAAAAGTTATTATATGGGGCGGTTAGAGGGTATCTCACAATTCAAAAATAGAATTGGCTGTCACAAGATAAGGGACACGAGAAAAAGTAGAAAAATCCCGTGCATTCCCCCGTTTTTATTCATTCTGTTCTTAATAAAAACATGGTAATGCACGGACTTTATCTAATTTGTTCGTTATCTTTAATCTACTGACAGCCAATTCTTTTTTTGAATTGTCAGATATCCTCTCATCGTCTCATATAACAACTTTTCATCTTCAACAGAATTATCAGTGAAATGAAATTCGATCGTTTGTCTGTTACCGCTCGTTACTTCACTCAGTTATATAGAAGGACAACTCATGTTTGTCATGTTTGACGTCACTTCCAGTTTCTTCACGTGCTTGTTACACATCTCCCGTAGCAATGATCTCTGTGTTAAAATTATATTTGTGATGTATTTAAGGAGCTCTATCACATATTTTATAATGACTGACACCAATATTGTCCTTTAAATCGGTATTTAGGCTGTATTTTACATCTCCTTGCTATGTGAAATACTCAACTGTACACTTAAATTATGGAATATTCGCAGTCGGCAAAAAGCTTGAATTTCTAACTTATGGAATGCCTTCACGGCCAAAAATCACGGATTTCTTCCTTCGCACGAAAGTTATATACTAAACTGTGTGAGTACAGACATTAAGCTAGTTCACCGACATTTTAAATCCTAAATCGAAGGTTTTAGTCGAAAACTCTAAGTATACTTCGATAATTTTGAGAAATATTTATTCGGCTTCAAATTAATATCATTGAAAAGGTTTATTTAATCTTTTTGTGTGTGACAGATATGAAACGGAGTAGAACTACATTAGTTAAGCGACTGACTTAGACTTAAAATTTCCTTTGAACACGGACCCTGGTGTTTTTTACTTTGTACTAATATTACTAAAAGACATTACTAAAATACACATAGATTACGCTTTCTATATTTCAGAAGCTATAGCAGGCAAGTTGTGTTAAGCCCTAACACTATACCCATGTTAATCGATTGGGCCATGGGTGCATTTAATGTCCCCTACACCCCCAGCCTCATTGCTTCTACAGTTTTGCGGACCGTGCTATAAAATGTATTTTGACAATATATCTATTTAAGCGTTCGGGGGTTAGATGATTCAGTGGGTCACTGTTTTAGATAATCAGAGGGATACATTATTTATAGATTTAGCAGATTACCACAAGTTTATGAAACGTCGCTTCAATTATAAATCCGTTAATCTTTGATACAATTTCACCGGTAGGGTTATTTGATGTTAGTGCATCATATAATATAACAATATTTCATTTATTATACTTTTCACGTACCTTCTTTTATTTTCGATTGTAACAGATTTAGCTTACAAAATGTGTCTCGTGGGTTCTATTGTTTTCAAACATATTGTCTTTGTGAATGGGCATGTGACACAAATGAAATACATTTCTTTCTTGTTTTATTCAAGTATGTTTTAGATTACGGATGTTAATAAAAGATTGCTTCGTCATGTAGATAAAATTACTAGGTGTAACGCCGATCGTGAGATATATTTGGTATTTGTACGGTCAATAGCTTCATTGTTTCATGTAGTTTAACGTGCTAATTTTCTGCCACTACTGAGCTAATGAAGACTGACATACGCCCTGCAGTGTGCTATGAGGGAATTTTATGGCCTACTATTATACAGAATTCCAACTGTCAAGGGTTATTTTACTTGCATGCCAATGTGTACACCGGCTTCAGTTTTTCTTCCTACACGAACAACTAGACATCTGTTCTCAAGGGCCCACGTCTTCCACCACTGACAAGGGGAAACCACGCTGGAAAATTCCTATGAAAATCTTTCTCGGCAACACCAGTAGCGAACCTGAGACCACCAGGGTAACAAGTCGGTGGCTTTCTCACTAAACCACCACGGCTCCAATGCGACGAAGAGATGAGTACCGAAAAATGGAATGCGAAGGACACCAGCTTCTATTGCATGGCTTTATCTACAAAAGATGTACTGAAAGTGGGCTAGCATACCTTGCCTCGTATTTGGCATCAATGACTACTCCATTAACTTTATTTGATAGCACTTTTCAAATTTATTATTTTCAATGTCCGTGCTAATTGGTTGTTACGCACGCTGTGGAAATCCTGCTTAATCAGATCACAGACCTACAGAAGCCTATAACTACCATGCATGTTTCAGAACACGAAAGTCGAAAAGTCGAAGTTGCGACGAAATGTGAGGCGACAGTACGCTATACAAGCCAAATTCGACCCGAAAATAGGAAATTAAGGAAAAATACACCACGATCCGCGATATAGCGCCCCTCGTTTTTTTCCTAATTTCTAATTTTCGACTTGCATTTTGGCTTGTATACCGTCTTGTCGACTTTCGAGTTGGTCATATTTTTATATTTATTTATGTTAGTAAGAAGGCGCCAACACGCATACCAAGTCAAAATACAAATCGAAAAGTAGAAATTAGGAAATTAACACATCGCGCTATTAGCGACCTATCATTTTGGCTTGCTGTCGTGCCTCGGAATGTGTAGTCTAAATTTTCGACTTGCATTTTGGCTTGTATACCGTCTTGTCGACTTTCGACTTAGTCATATTTTTGTATTTATTGATAGCAGTAAGAAGGCGCCAACACGCGTACCAAGCCAAAAGGCAACTCGAAAAGTAGAAATTAGGAAAATAACACACCGCGCTATTAGCGACCTATGTAGCACCATGGGCCTTCTGTCAGACGTGGAGAGCGGGCGATGGAAACCGGTCGCCACATCCTACGTAATATGACCCATGCAACTTTTATTTTAATAGCCTTGTGATCGTCTAGAATTTGTCTCCAGCTGTCTTTACTTCTGCTTCACGTTGTGTTTTTACTTCTTACTGTTTGTCTTCTCAGTAGTTATAACAATGCAACTGTTCGTTTTTACATTTTATATACGAAGCTGGATACATATAAGCATAGTATAGATTACAATACTAAAGTCAATCTCAAACCCTAGCCAGCCAGACTCGATATGGGCGAGTCTGCTTATAGAAATGGTTACATCTTTTCCTTTCCAGAATCTGTCTGTTGTCTAACGAATTCTCACAAGTATGATAGTTTTGTAGCTGTGGGTTTTGGACGTTCAATTATCTAATTGGTCAAATATCATGTAAATAAGTATAGAGATTGGTCAAACAAGCTAAATGATGCAATCGTAATTTTCCTTCACCTGTTTTTCGACACACTCTATCCTTGAACTCAGACCCTCTTTCCTGTTATTCTCACACAATTACATAAACAATTAATTTGCGTTTTAAATAAACGCATACCATAGCTAATACACTGACAATAGAGAATAATTTGTAAAGATAAAAATGTTGTTTAAACCATCTTTTTCCTCTATTCCTTGTCTATAAATTTAAAACAATGTCGCAACAACGATATTGCTATACCTATCATTTTGGTTTGCTGTCGTGCAAGTTGTTGTAGTTTCTACATTCCAGGTGACATTTGAATACATGTAATTCGCGTTAACAAAATAATCTGTGTAATAAAGTCTAGTATTGATGGCGATATTAGCGACCTATGGTTTTGCTTTGTTGTCGCGCTGTCGACTTCTCGACTTTCGCCTCAGACGTTGATGCAGTCTCTACATTCCATTTGAATACACGCATTGATAATTGAATTTCGTTTATTGTGGCTTTATACAGCATGTAAAATATACAAGCTTTCCCGATTAGATATTATTATTTTATTTCAAATTATATTAATACCATGGGTAGGAAAAGTAAGAACGAGTCGAATAGCGACGTTTCATTACCGCCGCCGAAATGCTCTAAAGTGAATGACGAGTGTGATCGTAAGCATATCTTCCAAATGAAATTGAAATTTCTATCAGGATTCAGATTATGGATCATTACGGTACCTGAAATAAGGAATAGGTGTACACGCATAAATTTAAATCATCCCAAAACTGCGCTAATATTGTGTAAACAGGGTTCAATATATATTTCAATAATTCGCTTGCAAGTAGGGGTCTTTAGCAGTGGGAAGGCGACCCTACTCCCTTATCACGTCTAAGCGGGGAATCGAAACCCCGTCACTTGATACAATTACAGATCTTGTTATTTCACGCGCACGCGTTAAACCAATAGACCACCCAACCGCCATGTAAAACGGATTTTGTAAGTTGCTGTAAATTGTATATGTACGCGACAATTGTTTTATAATAGGCCTACATAATAAATTAAATTGTTGTAAGTTTTCTTTTTTTTTATCAAACACTTAGCCTATGGAATATAAAATATTCCAGTTGGCGGAGAAAAAATATGAAAAATATTTTTTTATAAAAATTATTATCCATTTTGACGGATAAAAAATGAAAGCCAGCGTGAGACCTGATTGCACGTTTTCAAATGTGGGCTGGAAATTTTAGACTACAACTTCCTAGGCACGACAGCAAGCCAAAATGATAGGTCGCTAATAGCGCGATGTGTTAATTTCCTAATTTCTACTTTTCGATTTGTATTTTGACTTGGTATGCGTGTTGGCGCCTTCTTACTAAC